TTTACTTTACCTTACGTTGAGTGATGTGTTCAGGAGGCAGCTTAAGATGTTTAGCACGAGAGGACATCTCCGCAGTGATTGTGATAGGCAGAGCTTTGCTCACTCCTATGTGCTGGTACTGAGAGTAAAATAATTAAAATGATTATAAAAAATAAATAGATATGTATGAACAAATAAAATGAAAGAGAATTAATCACAACAAATATATATTATCTAAAATCCTGTTTTTACTGATAACATGGCAAGTTTACACAAGGGGTTAAATAAAATTACTTTTCATTAGCTCTCATGGGGTATGAGAAGCTCATACTGACCCTAATTGGGCTTCTTAATATGTTGATTTTAAACTATTCACTTGATATACCCAGAAGAAAACTTGCATATATTTAATTATGCATTTTATTATTAAGATCTCTTGTCTTCCATCTTTGCAAGCTCTCCCCTTCTTCCCAGTCCAAACTTTCTGTGTCTGCAACCACAGACCTTCTAATGCAGCTCAATGAGGCGCTCTAGGCAATTGTTGGCTTCTTGAGTTTAGCTCCACTGAGCTAAACAAATCAAGAACTAACAGAACTAATTGGCTTTGCTAATTGGCGAAGACCTTCAAAGTAAAATCTTTAAGGGATAAGGGCTGTGCCAACATTGGTCCTGAATAGGTAAAACTAGGTTTAAAATAAAATAGGAGTATATGCTGTAATAAGCTCAGCCCTTTTATTCATTAACTAGTACACTTCCTGTTGTTAAAATTACAAATAAAAATATACTACACAGACAGACACCATGATGGTTACCTTCATCACACAGAGACAACCACTCCTGCAAGACAGAAAACATAGCTTTACTTACCCATTCTCCATCCTTCTCAGTAGAGGGATTGTTTACTTTTCCTCTGGGCATTTTAAGCTAGCGATCTGTACTAGTGCTAAATTTCTGTTTACAGAAATGTATACCTAAAAGTTAACCTGGATTAATTCAGTGTTATCTCTGGAGTTGCAGATATGTAAGTGATGTGCCCTCATGGCATGCAAGTCCTTTTATAGCTGCTGAGAAACTGTGACATACATGTGAGTTGACTGTGATGTAAACAAACGATGACATCAGTAGGTAGCAGTATGGTTTAACCCCCTAAGAACTACACCTCATGATTTATAATGTCCTTAAGGACCCTGTGTCCTGTTTATTTTGAGTTTGCAGGATACAGGTGTAGGTGATACCCCTCTAGACACAGTGAGCACGAGGTCTACTTCTGGATTACTGTTTTAACTGAGGAAGAGCTTAAAGGAACACTATAGGGTCAGGAACACAAACACGTATACCTGACCTTATAGTACTAAAAACACTATTTAGCCCCCTGCCCCATCCCCTTCCCCCTTTAAATAGGGTGAAAACTCACCTTATTTCCAGCACCGGCTCCACCCCTATCCGTCTTCTTGGCTGACATAATCAGAATTGATGATCTCAGCCAATTACAGTGCTTTTCTCATCAGATGAGTGGCCAGTGGAGGTATTCCTAGGCTGTAATTGTGGTATCCTTCTCGGGCCACAGAGATAAAACAAGGACACTCCAAACACAGGTTGTTGAAGACACATTCCCTCCTTTGATGCTTCAACACCTGGATACAGGTGGCTGATATGCATCATTCCTGGAAATACCATACCAATCTAGTCTTGGGTTCTAGGCAAGTGAGGTTACACAGTATCTTCTTGATTAAGGGGTGTATACCTCCAAAGGGCAAAGGCATGAACTGCTGTTTTCCTCTCTATAGTAGCATCAATTATACTACGGAGGGAACGGAGCAGCGCCTGACTCAAACATGGGAGTAGCATACAAAGTGTCATTAGGAGCAGAAACCCTCCCACTAAAGTTTTCAGATCCCCAAATGAATTAAACCATTCTGTGAATCAACCACTAAAGTTTTAGTCCGTTCCATGTCTGTACTGGAACGTGGGCCACTGTCCTTACTTTATCAACAATGTCACTTATGGCCTCCACTTCATCATCAATCAATCATATGTTCCATCCTCAGCCCATGATGTAGCAGGACCATAATATCAATTATTCGTTCAGGGGGCCACTCCTTATCCTTCCATTGACCTATCGTTGCAGCCGTAAGAGCTATTCATAGATCAAGGATCCAAGTATCTCGCCCTCCCTTAGGGGAAGCAAAAAGAAGGAAGGCTTCAAAGTTCCTAGAACACAGGCCCCCGATCAATCTCTGGGAAGTTCAGAGTAGGCCTTAAGGCCACAAATCCAATACATATTATTGGGTGCTATCCAGGTAGACCTTGCAGACAAATCGTTCCATACATCTTTTAGATGTGGGTAATTACCAAAGGGGACTAGGGGATGGTTCAATTGCATTGGTTGCGGATCACCAGGAGGTAGATCTATCAGAAGAATTATACGTTTGCTGCTCTGGACACGTGAGAGTACATACAAAAGTCTAAAATTCTGGACCAGGTCCACTCATCCACTCATTCTCAATTAGGGGGTTCTTTAACAAGCCTTCATATTTGGGACGGTGTACTATCCTATCTGTTCATAAAAAGATTGAAAAACCCGGTGGGTCTCATATTTAAGATTTCAAGTTCAATATTCAAATATAGTATGTTTCCCGGGCCATATATCTGCAAACCATGGAAGGTGCCCCATTTGTACAGGAATACCAGGGGATTAAAGTGTCAGGTTCAAGGGGTTACAAGTGCCGGGACCACAACTAGATGTGGCCGTTATTGTCTGCAGACTCGCAGGTAGGGTATTTGATCTATATGTAGCCCAACCCACATGACTCAAGTAGGAGCAATAATTATACCCACCATTTATACAACCCCTATTCTTAGGCCACATTTACTTATTGTTTAACGTATAAGTCCTGTCCCATGCTACCTCAGTACAGGTGGACTCAGGTCATTTATTCAATATTAATATCACCACAAACTCAAGATGAGCAGATGATCCTGAAGAAGCTTCGACCGTGTGTCAGCACCTCATCTTCTGGATGTGATGGCTGCAGGGTAAGGAGTACTTCTGATTCTCTTTGGCTTCACAAGGTCTCCTTTTGGGTCCTCTGCTTTCCATCGATTGCAGGTGATCAGGCATTATCAAAACACCTACTTGTTGATATTTTATCCAACAGGTATCTTTATTTTCTTAAAATGGAGTTTCAGAGGGTTATCAGGGTCGACAGGCAATACTTCCCAGAGAGCAGAAGCAGGCTTGATTCTGGAATGATGGATCCACAAGGTGATCTCAGCAACTTTCATGGTGTACTACTTGGCGTGGTGTACTACTTGGCCTATTTGGTGGAGATCCCCTATAAGGCCTAGGACAATCAGTGGTGGTCAACCGTACATGATTTCTGAGGGGAGAGAGACTGATGAGTTTTGTGGGGGCTCTCCTGATCAGGAACAAGGCAAAAAGGAGCAAGGCATCCCACTTCAGGTTGGTTTCTTGGCACATTTTAGCTAGATGTAGCTTCAGTGTTTGGTTAATTCGTTCAACTTTTCCTAAGCTTTGAGGCCTATAGGCAATGTGCAGTTTCCATTTAAGAATGAGGCTCATGGCTAATTCCTGCAGACACTTGTGTACAAAAGCTAAGCCATTGTCAGATCTAACCGTTATCGGGATTCCATATCTTGGAATTATTTCAGTAAGCAGGAAACGGACCACTATATTCTTTTCTTTTATTGTTTCTTTTTTTTCAGTTCAGGTGGGCCGGGCTTCTGCCCAGCCAGAGTAAGAGCATGCGATGACAAAGATATAGGGGAATTCACCAAATTCTGACATAACAATAAAGTCAATGAGCAAATCAGATATAGGTAATACTCCAACAGTTTGATTCCCTGGTTGTTGGCTTGGTCCTTATTGGGGTTACTTTTGGCCAATTCCATGCATCGTCTGGCCACTGCTTGTGTTACTGTAGACGGGCAATGTTTGCAGCCAATGACGTGGATATGACTATACTCCCATCTTCTAATTGGTACCACTTTTTATTCAAGGAATGGCCTGGTTCTGTTTTCCAGCCATTTTGTTCAGCTAGGCTAAATAGGGGTGACCAGTCCGAGATGGGTACCAGGAACAGCAGGGCAAGGGTTAACTGAGATACAGAGTCTTTTATAGCGACATGTTTTGCAGTGCCGTCAGCCAGCCTGTTTCTAATAGTCACATGGGCTTTGCCTTTCTGGTAGGCTTGGCAATGGATAATGCTAACTTGAGCAAGAAATCGCTGTGTGGCAATATCCCAATGAGTGACACCAAAATGACAAATACTCATACACCTTATGTGGGTATTCCCTTTATCCCCACATAAACACAGAAATATACATACAATATAAGGTGGAGTATATAAATAGTGATTCTTCCAATGTTAGATTCAATAGAGTAGTGTCCTTTAGCAATTTCCTAAATTGGAACACAAATAAGAAGAGAAATAGTGCAATATTGCCAATTCACAATATGTTATTATAATATATGAATGGTAAAGCACTCACAAACACAGAGCCACTAAAAAGGCTCAAAGATGAAGATCTGTGGGTATTCAAGGGATCCACTCCCTTCTTGCTATGGTCTGAGGTGTCTCAATAACAGGATATCCTCTCAAGATGTAGCAAAAAATAAAGTGCTTTATTCAAAAGTGCACAAAAAATTCCATAAAACCATTAAAGTGAATAAAAAACCTTACAATTCAAAGGTAGTCCTTGTGGTAAAGTGCAAAACGCGTTTCGCCTCAGTATGAGGCTTCCTCAGTTGCCGGTTATTGTTCCTTAATAGTCTACTTCCTCTTCCGGTTTCGGCCTTTGCGTTCCAATCCGTGGAACTCAAATATCACGTGCCGCGCTCCGTGAAGCGCAGGCGTTACGTGACGTGTTTGGGAACGTTGCCTTACATTACAAAGTCCAGTCATTGTATATAAGCCCAATATTTCAATTTATGTATAAAAAATGAAAATATTTATATCATATTTTTTTATTATTATTATATTATTTTTTATCATATTTATATGAGCAAGAGCCCAGACCACTTCGAGTACTGTCAACATTTCTGATGAATGCTTGATGTCTTTTCCTCCAGAATTGAGTAGGCCCCGTTCTTAGTACAGGGCTCCAATAGGCATGAGTTGTAAGGCATGCATACTTTGAGTCAGTGTAGATGTTGACACGTAGACCCATGACCAGTTGCAAGGCCCTGGTCTGGTTCTGGGAGTTGACAGTTTCACAGTGGTTCCTTGGGTTCTCAGCATAGCATGGCCTGGTACTCTGTGGTTAAAAGGCATATGGAACCCAAACATAGAGTTCTTGTCCTACTGTCAATTTATCAGCTTCTGAAATGAATAGAGATGCCGCAGCCACTGTTCTCAGACAAGGGGATAGGCCTTGGGCCACTGGATCCCGTTGTTTGGACAGGTAGGCCACTAGCGGATTCACTCCCACCCGAGGAACTCCCCCACTTCGTCAGATGCCTAGTCTCCTCCATCATGCCCACAAAAAATGCAAAACAAATCACCTTTGAAGGCATGTACCGCATAGCGAAGTCCTCACAAGCGCCTGCTAAGGCCCCACGGGACATTATTCTATGCAGTCAAACTCTTACCGACAAACACAGGCTTCTCAACACAGTGAAGGGCAAGACTCCATGGCAATTTGAAACGCAAACCCTTACAATTTTTCAAGACCTAAGTAGAGCCACCTTACTATGGCGAAAATCAATGCAGCCGATCACGAAGACCCTGCAGTCGGCTGGACTTCCATACAGATGGTCTTTCCCCTGAGCTCTTACAGTCACCCACAATGGACAGACTTTCAAGGCCCTAGGACCCTCAGAGGGAATTGCGTTTCTCCGGGCGCTTGGACTACAGGACCAGACCAGGGCGGTGGGCACAAGCCACACCTGGGATGTCTCCAGAGTCAACCCTTTCGTACCCAGCGGTACCGGCGACTCGGCGACCTGACTCTGAACGGGACTCTAGCCTGTGTTATGTTTCTTTAGTGTTATGTTATCATTTATCGCTTCACACTCGTAATTGTCATCAAGCTTTCCGTTTACCGTTTAGCATTAATGCCTCCAAGAAAAATGTTATGTCTTGTTTAATTGAGGAATGTCATGTTTTGTTTACTAGAGCCTATGTCTCACTGATGCATGTCACCGAGACCCCCATCTAAATTACAAGCCGACACATGGGCTCAGACACGCAAAGTGACAGCCACCCTCCCCCCCCCCACATGGCCCCATAGGTTAGGGGGCAGCAACACCAAGACCAGGAGTCCTACTCCACATCCCTAGACACTCATGGTTCTGACCAAACCCACTTAGTGGATCGAGATACACGTCGTTAAAATCCTAATAATCAAAAACTCCTGCGCAATTCTAGCCCAAACCTAGATGTATACAATTAAAAAAGGGGTTACCTCTTAAAGGACAACATTCCACGTGTATAGCCGCATTGTTTTGCTTTCAAATGTCTTTTACCTTGTACAACAGTATTAAATCACCCGAACAAAATAAAGAATTTAAAAAAGAAAACTGAAGCCATGGTAACATCTTTTTTTTTTACCACAAACTCACCTTCAGAAAAATCAGCAACAAGGCTATATGCATTTTCAAATCATACAAGAAAATCCAAAATACCCACATCAATATCTGGGTTTAGTTTTTTTTTTTTTTCAACATTTCAATGTCTGCAAAATCATTCCCTGTTAATTTTAATTAACCACATGATTTAATAAACCACATGCATCCAGGACAGGCAGACCAAGTTGGGCTCTGAGGGGCAAGATTTTAGCACCAGACCTAGCCTTAAGGTCATATCGATGACTAGTGGAGGCTTTGAGGGACGTAAGAAAAGCCTCTGCTGGCAAGGAATAATCCATGCTATGTAAGGCACTGGATACAGGCTGGTTAGTTCTGGGGACAGACTGAATGGTGGTACCAGGGGGACTAGAAAGAGCTGTAACAGGGGATTCAGGTGGGGTGTCCAGTGAATGCTGTTTGTCCGGTAATCGAACCACCAGGGGAGGAGGTGGGGGTAAGTTTTTCAAATCTGGATATAACTGGGCAGCAGAGGAACAAAAGGGTCCCCTATAGGGGGGTGGCTCATGTGAATCTGAAGGATCACCAAATATTGGCTTTTTGGTGGGGACAGATTTAGGGACTGAAGCCAGTGTAGCAAGCATTAAACAACTTTTCATCGTTTTAACCAATCTGGCTGTTTTTTTAACTACTTGCTGCCAGGCATCAATGTAAGGGGACTGATCAAGATGACCTGGGGACCCAGTTACTACAGTATGAACCTGAGCAATTAAATCCAGGTCTGTGATAGATTCATCTGTATTGCTGGTTCGTCTGTTATCCTTTGTTTTCGCTGGATTTCCTGTCCGTATGCTCCTGTTCGTGTGATTACAAAATACCGATTGAAACTACCAAACGAACGACCACCCAGGAGAGGAGTGTGCTGCTGGTTAACCTCTTGGCCCCAATTAGAACGTTGTGGTTAACCGCAGACACCTCTCCATTCCATTCGTACGGGTGGTCATCGTTCGCATGCCGACCATGAGGCGGCGGCCATTTTGGGACACGTGGAAGCGTAGCGGTGTTCGGTACAAATTCTATGGAACTAAAAACGGACACTTTAATCTACCGAACACCGCTGGAAGTTGCTGCCCACCTTCTATTTCGGCGAGGCGCACGAACGCCGGTCTGTTCGGGAGTTTTATACATTCGTATGGACCTTTACCCAGATAGCCGTCCCATGGAGTCATTCGTATACCGAAGGACTGGTGAAAGACTTTGACTTCATGGTGATTCGACTAGATACATCGGATCTGAGCGCTATTCGGTAGAAATATGCACTCAGATCCAGGCTGTCTGGGGATACGTTACACGAACTATATTCATTCGGTATTATATATTTTAATGTATTTTTCTTACTGTATTTTAAAATGGCGATTGTCTCTATCCTGGGAGATAATTAGGTTTCTTCCTAATTATCTCTGGGGTAGAGAAGAAGGGTTTATGGGTAAGAAGGGAAGGGCTTATATTGAAGCCACTGCGATTGGCTACTGTCCAATATGTTTTACAGTCTTCCACAAGGTCCCCTCGGGGAGTGTCCACCTTGTGGAGACCTGCATAAATACCGGGCAGGTAGCCCCCATTAGACAGATCCTTATTTGACCCTCAAGACGGAGCTTGGTCTCGTTTGTGGGGGAATTATTACTGGGACAGCGCTTTCGTTATTTCTAGCTGTGGAAGGCGTTCGACTGTTTTGCTGATCGGGAGTTGCCGTGTTCGTGAACTTCGTTCGGGAGTTTGGCGGTCGGTTGGATAGAAACTGCATTTCTGGAGAGGGGGATTATTCACTAAATGGCGGCTTCATCTACCTGGCGGTGAGTGTCGTAACAAGGTCCAAACTACCTTCAGAGGGCCAACCAGAGCAAATAATGGGCCATTCCTGTTCACACAAAATGATCAACTGTTGAGGATACATTTTAACCCCATAATCGGCTCTATAAAATTATTGACCATACAATCAAGGGGCCCAAGGATTCTGATCTTCTCCCTCCCATAATGTGGTATCATTCTCGGGCCACAGAGATGAAACAAGGACACTCCACACACAGGTCATTGAAGAACAAAGGCTATTTAGTATTGAGCATCTGTAAAGTCTCAATCAGACAATTGTCTTGGAATTCCTGACTGAGCACACGTTTACAAGAGAACAAAGAATATATACCACAAATGACATATTCCATAAGTATACAGAGAATACAGAAATTACACCTACATTACTATGGTTACATCCAATTATTAAACTAAAACTTATCTCTTACACATGTTATCTAATAGTGGGTGTTCCTGACATAACTGCTGACTATCCCAGGAATACCCCCACCTGTTGCCCAATAACACACATCAGACCTTGTTATGTTGGGTAAGGGCAACGGCCACAGCTTTATTGTTATTTCCTGCCATCAAGTATTCACCACTGTCGGCTGTTGGGGTGGTCTATCCCCTTAAAACATGAGTCCAGAGCAGCCTGCCTCCGCCATCAGCTCCCAGCAGGCTGCGACTCCCCAAGCCTCCTCAGCACCTTCTTCCGCTTATGACCGGCCTGGCCAGGACTCCCGCATGCTGTGACAAAACAAGAAGAGACAGAAAACCAAAGCACACACCAAAAACGACCACCAGAGGGAAAGTCCGGATCTCTGCACTTTTTCCAAGCTGACTGGTAAGTCCCCACCCATCTGTCCCTTATATATCTATAGGGTCCCATATTGTCATATTGTATCCATGTTGCCCTTATCTCTGCATCAGTCATGTCCCTCCCTTCCTTATCAGTCCAGGGAAGGTCTTGACTGCTGACTACCCCAGGAATACCCCACCCGTTGCCCAATAACACACGTCAGAGCTTGTTATGTTGGGTAAGGGCAACGGCCACAGCTTTATTGATAATTCATGCCAGCAAGTATTCCCCACTGTCGGCTGTTGGGGTGGTTCACCAATAGACAGTTCTATCCCCTTAAACCATGAGTCCGCAGCAGCCTGCCTACGCCATCAGCTCCTGGCAGGCTGCGACTCCCCAAGCCTCCTCGACACCTTCTTCCGCTTATGACTGCACTGGACAGGACTCCCGCCACCGCGATGATGACGTTAGTTGTTGCCCCTTGTCGTCATCACGCCCCCTGCAGACAGCGCAGCCTCGATCCCATTCTGCAGGCCCAATTTAAAGATATCCAACCCGATCAAATTTAAGTGGAACCCATCCTTCCTCATCAAAATTTAGGTTGTCTCCCTTCAACTCCATGTGCCTGACTACGACGCCACCGCACAAACTTTCCCACTGATATGTTCAGCTTGCGCCGGCTCGTTTCCAACCCGCGTACGTGCGGCAAAGTGCGCCAGCTGTCACGGTAGTATACCCCAACACGCAAGATTTAGTCCAACAATTGACAATATAGAGCAGATACGTCTTACCGGACCTTAGAATGGCCGGACTCGATGTAGAGCAGAGAAAGACAGAGTCAGGAACTAGCCGAGGTCAAGGGTACAAAGAGACAGCGAAAACAAGAATTAGCCAAGGTCTGGTACACAGTAATCAGTAAGCCGGCAAACACGACAAACAAGGGATAAAGAGATAAACAGAGTCAGATACAAAGCCTAGGTCAAGAACGAAAAAATCACAACTGAACACAACAAGCGCTAAAGGGAACTGAAAAAGAAACCACGATAGGGCAGGGAGTTAACGGAGAGGTAAGTATAAATACCCTAGCATTTAATTTGCTTGGCCCCTGTCATATCCACGCCCCCTAAATGTGAGTGTATGGGGAATGTGGGATGACAGGGGCCAATGGGAGAACGTTTCAGTTTTCGGCTCCCACTGTCCCTTTAAAAGCGTGCCCGAGACATGCGGCATGCTCTTAGAGCTAGGTGGGACATGTGACCGCATCTCGCGGTCAGTGCCCGCCGACATCCGAGCCCTGAGCGAGCCGCACGCGGTGGTGATAGAGGACCTCGGCCGGCCCCCGGATAAGGTAAGTAACGCTACACCAGCACGGCCTGGGGACCACTTCCGACCACACCACTGTGAGATCCGGAAAGAGTGCCAAACATCTAGCCAGGTCGTGCTGGATCGTATGGACAAGATCTACTGTCCTAACCCTCCCCAAATCGTTCCCGTCAGCGTGGACAACCAACACCACTGGCCTTGAAATAAACCTTTGCAGCGTTACACACTCTGGATATACCTGTGGCCAGGTCCATAGGTGCGGTCTTCTGCTCGTCCAGCAGCCCAATATACGTAGGTGTGCCCATAAAATGCAGACATACTGGGGCCTCGCACCTTCAACGAGAAGAACATTAAAGCACCCCGATTCCCATCTACCAATGTGCTTAATTTCCGCTGCCGTGTAGCCCAGCAAACTCGCCTGAGTGGTGGCCCTAATCCGAAAGGAATGTGCCGAGTACCCCAGTGCATTCACCCCGCAGGCCGCAAATGCCCTACGGAGCATAGCAGTGAATTGGTAACGAGTGAGCGGTGACCCATATGCATGCACCAGCAGAGGGCCACCCTTTCCGACCGCACCCTTAAGAACCCTAGAAAGGACAGATCTCTCCACTCGTCGCTCCAATACGTACCTAAGCACCGCGGGCTGCCTGGTTCGTCTTGGACCGCCTCACGAAAATATCGGATTACTCCGACCACCTAACGTCTGAAAGAGACAACGGCGAAGCCGCTCGCCGGTTGGGCACCACTAAATTGCCAATGCAGAAAGCCCCAAAAAAACAGAATGGGAAGGCCACGCGAAACAGGAGAGACTCAAACTCCGATGTACAGACCATTGGTAAAGCTGACAGAATCCAACGCAGTTTTCGCCGAAATAGGGCGATGTCGATCTGAGCACCTCCAAAGCCTCCAACCCCGCAAATCCCTCTGAATTCCAAATTCTTTTGTAAGATCGAGCCAGCCCATAAAATGGATTAATCCCTAAGGGGACAACTCACACCCAGGGAGACATGGACGATAGGCCCAATCCCAGGGACCCCTACTCCCCTGCCCACTGGAGGTAGCCTGCCTTAGCTCCCCTGACCCACTACCCTTAAACTGCCCACCACCTACCAATAACCTAAGCAGGTGCAATACTTCACTGTCCTGCTCAGGCCCCCCCAGAAGTACCCCAAGCACTAGCGCAGGCCAACTCACCAAAGTGCGGCAGGTTCACAGGTCCCAGCTCCTCACAACCGTTACTATCCTCTTGACTCGTCCTCCGAATCCACTTGGAGCCTCCCAGCTCCCAGATGTGCCACAGCCGACACAGTCTTCTGACTGCCGCACCGGCATCCCGGCTTCCTGCTCCTGGTCCTGCCGCACGTGACGCGGCACCCGTGCTCCATGCCGGTCCAGCACCATCTCCCTGCGCCGGGGTGGACGTCCAGCGACTTCCAGTACGGGGGCGCACTTCTGGGTACTTCATGGCCCCAGCTTCTGACCTCAATTCCGGCGTTGCTCCAGTTCGTGCCCCACGTCTTGACATCACTTCCGGCCATGCTGGAAGAGAAGATGGACATCTGGAACTTCCCGCCAAAATGCCATCTTGGGTCTGGCTGGCGGATCCGACCACAGCCCTTCACCTCAGCCATGCCGCCCGTGGTGATACACTGCACGGTCATCACCTCCCCTCCTCACCGGACTTCGAGACAGGCACGTCGGGGGCCTGGCCCGCCGATCGCCATCCACAGTCACTGATGCCTCCCTGGGACCCGGGGCTGCGCCCGGCCAACGATCACTCTCCACACCGGCCAGCACTGCATCATGGGAGCCCGCTCCATGAGCCGCCTGGTAAGCCTGCAACAGGGCCACCAAATCATCCTGGGAAACGTCCATTGCGATCAAGACTCACAGCCCCAGCAAGAACCAAAATTGTAAATATTTTTTTTGTGAGCTGTGAGCAAAATCAGCAAGGTGGGAAAGAAGTCAGGATCCCTGCACGGCTGCACTTTTTCCAAGTTGACTGGTAAGTCCCCACCCATCTGTCCCCTATATATCTGTACGGTCCCATATTATCATATGGTATCCATGTTGTCCCATCCTCTTATCTTTGCATCAGTCATGTATGTACGTAGCGGGGAATGTGGTGCGACTAAAAGAAAGACTACCCACTTATCCCCCAATAATGACAGACAATGCATATTGGATGAAACAGGCCACAGCATTTATTAAAACTTACAACTGTAGGACACATCCGAACTTTATTCTTTTCCTTTAATTCCAATATAAATAAACACATAAATATATGTACATACCATAATTAACATATAAATTAACACTTATAGCCCTACAGCCTTCAACTTAAATAACCGTCCTTGCCAACGAACTTAACCAGGTGCCTATGCACCAAAAACTTTACCCACTGGTGTCTCGCCTCCCCCCTCGTCCAAACCAAATTCCCATCATCTTAAATGCTCTAACCACCAGCGGCTCTTAGCTCGGTGGGCACGTCCAATTCGGTAACTTGAAAGTTTACCTTACAGAGCAGGGGAGGTTGAGACCCACCTTGTCCATCTCCTGACATTCCATCTGCTCCCCAACCCTGTTGGCAAGGACACGCTCCCCGCTAGCTGTGACGAAACAAAAAACAAAAAACCATAAATTAGGGTGGGTGGGAGGGAAGTTGTTTGCTGGCCAGAATCCCAAAAGGCACTGAGGTAAGATGATCCCTGCCCCACTACAAACACATAACCACTCCCCTAAACACATACAGCCAATCACTAGCACCGTCCCCACACTCATACATGTGCCCTTGTACGTTTAGCTGTGCTGACTCCCCAGGGCCTTGTCCCCCCTTCCTTGTCAGTCCAGGGGAGGTCTTTCCACACATATGCCCTGGTCCAAGATAGTTGCACAGTAGTTTTAACCATATGAGTAGTTAAATGACCACTACAGTGCTAGGAAAACAAACTTGTTTTCCTGGCACTATAGTGTTAATAGGTCCCCCCTACCCTCATGGACCCCTCCCGCCGGGCTCTAGTGGCAGGAAGGGGTTAAAGGCTTACCTTTCTCCAGCGCTGGGGACTCTCCTCCTTCTTCCGACGTCATCCGCCGAATGCGCATGTGCTGCTAGAGCCGCGTGCATTCAATCAGTCCATAGAAAAGCATTTCTCAATGCTTTCCTATGGACACAAGCGTCTTCTCACTGTGAAAATCACAGTGAGAAGCGCCGAAGTGCCTCTAGCGGCTGTCAATGAGACAGCCACTAGAGGCTGGATTAACCCTAATGTAAACATAGGTTTACAGCTGCAAGGTTAACCCTAGATGGACACTGCACCGAGACCACTTCATTGAGCTTAAGTGGTCTGGGTGCCTATAGTGGTCCTTTAACTTTTCCTAACCCTCCTGTAGCTTCTACCACATAATGTAAACACTGCCTTTTCTCTGCAGAAACAGTGTTTACTGCAAAAATCCTGCAGGGACTGACTATAGTTACCAAAACAACTACATTAAACTGTAGTTGTTCTGGTGACTATAGTGTCCCTTTAAGAAAAAATAAATACATTTACAGGTTAAAAGTATGTGTAAAATGACAAAGAGCACTCTGATTGGCGGGCTTGCAATGTAACCAATCAGAGTGCTCTTTGTCATTTTACACAGCATGGGAAAGTTCTTTGGAGTTTTCCCACGCTGTGTAAAATGACAAAGACCACTCTGATTGGCTTAAACCAAACAATCATAGTGTTCTTAGCCTAATTGCAGGACTGGGCAAGGCTTTATAAGCCTTCCCCCGCCCTGCAGAGCTCAGTCTGCGCGGAGCCCTCCATGGGTGAAGAAGGATTCTTTTTTTTGCGCTCTGTTTTTTTCTTTTTTGTCTGTTTTTTTTGTGCTCGGGTTTTTTATTTTATTTTAAGTTCAACGGGTATGATGGTTTTTTATTTGGCCTTTTTTGGGGCTGAAAAATAAAGATTTTAAAAAAAAGATGACGTCAAATGGTAAGTTTAATTTTTCTTTACAGGTTAGTTATTTTATTCCCCCCTCACTATTTTTTAGGGTGAGGGGGGTAGGTAGGGGGTAACTTTTCATTTGGGTGGGGGGGGTTGGTGACTAGGGGCTTGGGGACCCCTAGTCACCTTTGATGGGGGGGTGAATTTGTCTTAGGGCCGCCAAGGGGTGGGGGTCAGGGGGAGGACAGTAGGTCCCCCCCCATTATCTTTTTGGCCCCCACCCACCATCCAGGGGTGGTTACCGGTGGGGGGAGGACAGTATGTCCCCCCCATTATCTTTATGACCCCTACCCGCTGCCCAGGGGTGGGAGCCAGGGGGGAGGACAGTAGGTCCCCCCTTCATTATCTTTATGGCCCCCACCCACCGCTCAAGGGTGGGGGCCGGGGAGTGGAGGACAGTAGGCCCCCCATTGTAATTTTTGACCCCCCACCACGCAGGGGTGGGGTCCGGGGGGAGGACAGTAGGTCCCCCCCCTCATTATCTTTATGGTGGGGGCCGGATAGTAGGGTTTTTTTAAACAGTGAGCTTTTAGTAGATATGCCCCTATTCGCAGTATAGCGAGTAGGGGCATTTTGGAGATTTTAATATCCCTTATGCTGTTATAGGGGTCATATTGACCCCCATAGAGTGAGGAAGGACATGGGGGAGCTTAGGAAGTGGTGGGGAGCACTGCTCCCTGCCGCTTCTATAGTTACATATTACAAGGAGGGAGCTGCGCGCCGGTAGCTCCATCTTTGTAATAAACTGAACGAACAAACGAACACTGATATTCAGTGTTTGTTTGTTCGTTCGACAATGCTATTCATTCATTCTGACGAATGAATAGATAAAATTCCCTTTCGCATACCCAAGTGTTTCATTGGGCATGTGCGGGAATCTCCATGCTATCTAGTGTGGGCAGATGACGTGTCCCACAGGGACTTCCTCTACCCACACAAAGATGGCAGCGCCCTGACTATAGATCGGGGCAGAAAATAAAGATTAAAAATAGGTAATATGGGGGGCTTAGGGGCATTTAGAGCTGACTAAGGGGTCAATTAGATGTAGTGGAGTCGGGGGGGGGGGTTAGAAAAAAAACGGGATTCGTCCATGACAGTGCCGCTTTAAAGGGGAAGGAAACCAATGGCTTACTAAAGGGGGGGAAAGGGGAGGAAGGGGGTGGTCCACCCCGGTGCCCCCTCAGTAGGGGGGTACCACATCACTGAGCACCACAGAGGTTAATATAGAGTGTACCAGCAGGGGGCGCAAAACCAGGTTTCTCCCCTGCGCGGCCACTCTGAACATGCAGGGGATCAGAGTCAGGCTCTCTAGATCCCCTGCCTGCACGTGCTCCACTGCCTGATCCTGGGATGGAGCTGGTGAGAGATAGCCCCTGCTGCACCCCCTGAATGGTAAGCTAATAATAGTATTGTAAATTCACCCTGTGACATCCCCCTTCTCGTAGCCATGTAATATCATCCCTGCCATATATACCTAATCCTCACCTAATTATAATACCCTCCCTGCCATTATATCCCCACCCTCCCTGCCATATATCCCTAATCCCCATCTAATCATATCTTCCCTGCCATATACACCCCTGCCTTGTCATAATACTTTCCCTGCCATATACACCCTCACCTTATCATAATATCCTCCCTGCCATATACACCCCCACCTTGTCATAATATCCTCTCTGCCATATACACCCATACCTTGTCTCAATAACCTCCCTGCCATATACACCCCCGTCTTGTCATAATATCCTCCCTGCCATATACACCCCTGCCTTGTCTCAATAACCTCCCTGCCATATACACCCTCGCCTTATCATAATATCCTCTCTCCCATATGCACACCCCTTTTTATAATATCCTCCCTCCCATATACACCCCCACCTTGCCATAATATCCTCATTGCCATATGCACTCCGCCTTGTCTCAATGCCCACCCTGCCATATACACCCCCACCTTGTCATAATACTTTCCCTGCCATATACACCCCCACCTTGTCATAATAGTCTCCCTGCCACATACACCCCGGCCTTGTCATAATACCCTCACTGCCATATACACCCCCATATTGTCTTAATACCCTACCTGCCATATACACCCCCGCCTTGTCATAATATCCTCCCTCCCATATGCACCTCCACCTTGTCATAATACCCTCCCTGCCATATACACCCCCACCTTGTCATAATAAAAAGAAAAGGTTTTTTTTACAGTAAGAACAATAAGGATATGGGATTCTCTGCCTGAAGAGATGGTTTTGTCAGAGTTCATACAGATGTTTAAACTGAAATTGGATAAATAGTTACAAAAACATAACATACAGGGATATAATTTCTAATTAGTGTGGTAATAGCTGCTTGATCCAAGGAGACATCTGACTGCTATTTTGGGGTCAAGAAGGAATTTTTTCCTAGTTTGTGGCAAAATTGGAAGCGCTTCAGACCAGGTTTTTTGCCTTGTTTGGGATCAACAGCAACAACATTTGTGAGGAAGGCTGAACTTGATGGACGCAAGTCTCTTTTAAGCTATGTAACTATGTAACTATTTAATCACCTTTGGAAGATGGGTGAAATGCCAGAAGAGAATTTGAATGCTCAAATAATTACATTACCTAAGACTGGTAAAGCACCCATTGCTTGCTGAAATTTTCATCCCATATTATTGATAAACAATGACACAAAAATATTCTCAAAAATTTTAGCAAAGAAATTATCTCACATTTTTTTTTGTCATTGATTGGCAATGATCAAGTCGGATTTATTATGAACCGTCAGGCACCGGACAACAGACGCTGATTTATGAATTTGATACACCAGATCCGAGTGGATTTCACGCCTTCTCTGCTTCTTTCTTTAGATGCGGAGAAGGCTTTCAATAGAATTCATTGGGATTACCTTAGGGAGGTACTGTCGCGTTTCAATTTGCCTGATCCTTTCATCAGGGCCTTGCTTGCATTATATTGCAGGCCTACAGTTAGAGTTTCGGGGGCTGGATTCATGTCTGAAGCATTTAAATTGTCTAACGGCACAAGACAGGGATGTCCATTGTTGCCACTTTTATTTGTGTTGGCCATGGAACCTCTGGCAGAAATAATACGCCAATCAGCTAACATTGAGGGAATTTCTGTAGGGGATGAAGAACATAAAATTTGTTTATTTGCACATGACATCATACTTTCTTTAAAAAAAAAGTATACCTCATCTCCATTGATGTCTATTCTGCAAGAATTTGGCAATATCTCCTATTACAAATTAAATACGACAAAAACTCAAGCTCTTCAGTTTTTTATACCATGGTTTGATTTGGATACCATAAAGAAAATGTATGATTTCGATTAGGGGGACTCTTATATTTCTTATCTGGGCATCAATTTGTGCAAGAATTTGTCTACGATGCATAGATGTAATTTAGAAAAGGTCTGGTCTGAACTTAGGGAAGACATTGAGAGATGGTGTGGTCTCGAAATCGCTTGGTTAGGTAGGATTAATTTATTCAAAATGACTCTCCTTCCAAAAATGTTATATATACATAGAACAATTCCCCTCTCTATACCTCTATCCTTTTTTAGAAAAGTCCACTCTGCCCTTGTTTCATTTATTTGGAACAAAAAACCTAGTAGTATTAAATGATCCATTTTACAAAAACCCTGAGTTGGGGGAGGTACGGGTTGGCCAGATTTTATTCATTACTACTAAGCTACTAATGCAGCAATAGCACTTAAATTTAATTTAAATAACGCCAGACCCCAATGGCTTGAGATGGAGGCAAATAAGGTTTTACCTTGTTCTATTAAAGATTTATTATGGCTGCCTTCATCTCAATTCCCTAAGGCGGCGGACATGTTTCCCTCTAGTAAATGAACCCTTAAAATGTGGAACCTATTATTCAAAAAAATTCAACCTTCTGCCACATGGTCAAGAGCTACACCATTATCAGCAGTATGTTATGCTCTACCTGAATTGAATGTAGATTACTGGGCCTCCCATTCCATTGTATATATTAATTATCTATTTTCTTCCAGGGGCCTTCTGCCTTTCGATCAATTGAAAGATAAATTTGATTTAAGTTTACTTGATGCTCCAACACATAAGAGACTCGTGACAACAATTAGAGACCATTTTGCTCTTTCCGATCAGGATCCGAACGTGTTGAAATTGGATATGACAAAATTAGAAGAAATCTATTTATTACTTTAGATCATGGTTGGAAACAAAGCATTTCCTTGTGTTACAATATTTTTGCAGGTGACGTGTGATAAAACGAATTACACGTTGAGGTAGGAGAGTGAGCTGGGTGGGATATACAAAGTAGAGAAGTGGAATGAATTTTTATTATCGTTAAAAGGTATCACTCAATGTGCAAACCATTTGGAATCCCATTACAAATTAATTTATAGATGGTACCTAACCCCTTCCAAACTTTTTAACATGCACCTTAGCGAAAATAATAAATGCTGGAGAGGCTGCGGTCAAATTGGTAAATTTCTCCACGTCTTCTATTCGTCTCCCAAAATTAAAACTTGATTAATAAAGTGATAACTATCTGGAGTACTATAGCTTTCATAACATAGAATACACTTTACTTGAAGTTTTAGTGACTTTGTAAAATCAACTCAAAATAGAGGGTAGGAGGATTTGATGAATCGGCGTGACATGGCGTCTGGAAATGGATGTACAAGACTTCTTGATTTTGATCTTGAATTTGACTGGAAATAAAAGATATCATGGCTTTAGGACATAACAATTCAATACATAATGTAGCACTTGAACTTTTTCAATGTAAATATTTACGTACAATGTGCTGTTTACTTCTCTTTATGTGCTTAAAGGGACACTATAGGCAAAAATGGTCATGGTGGTTTGAGGAGCCTTTAAAGTGCAATATAGGCCTCTGATGTTGTGTTCTTAAGGGGATAATAGTGGTTTTTAGTTGGGTGATTTGTGTTTTACAAGCTTTATGTAGATCAGGTGCTTTGTTAAGAGAAGACTATCAGCTGGGAATAATCTAGTGCTGAAGATGTAAGGCTCTGGCTATATTTGTATAGTGATCAACAAAAATATTGGAAAGTTAACTAAATGAAATAAATTATATATATATATATATATATATATATATATATATATATTTATCATTTCAGCTGGACGTTCACAGGAATTTAAAGAGCCTCAGCCTGTTCCTATCCCTCAACCTCTACAGAGGAAACTAATTAGATGGAATACTTTGTCAAGATGTGTTATTAAAAAAGGAGGACAACCCTGTTTAATATGCTATGTAGATTTTAAGCAACAAGATGAAAAAAATTAAACTTCCATGTAGGTATGAATTCCATAGTGGATGTATAGTGAGATGGCTTAAGGTGAAATACACATGTCCTCTTTGCGTTCATTGGTATTTACAGCTAAATATCATTTAAGAAGCAGGTTCCCTCATCACACCTAAAATGTGTTTTCATTTATTTCTTAGTAATAAAGTAAGTTTCAAAGATTAATATGTTGGATTTTCTCATGTTTCCAAAAACATTTGTAAAGTGTGGCATTGAGACACCTAGTGATGTAATTATTTTGTAATCTGAATGTATGGAAAAGTAGATATAGGTCTACTGGTACTCCTTTCTACAATGTAATATTTATTACAGAGACTTTATTCCTTGAACTAGAAATTGCAAAGAATAGTTGACAAAATTGTCAACTAGACTTAAAATTTGTTATTTACTTTCAGTTCTCCAAATTTCTCAGTTTAGGGGATACCTCCACTGTACACTATGTTACACGTATATTAGCTGATTTGGAAATCGTGTAATCATATCTTTACTGTGTAATAAAAATATAGTTATCATTAGAGTTAGTAAACGTTATTGACTCCAGGATTTGAAGATACTTTGAAATAACAAAAGACAGAAAAGAAAAGGAAATAATAATATGCATGTGTTCCTAATGTGAGAGTCAGTGAAAATAGTAAAAAAAAATAAAACAGATAAAATGTAACCTTTATTTTACTACCGGTAAGTCTAAAAAATTATTGGACAAAAATATTTAAAGCATAATGCAACAAGTCTTGTCCTACCTGTATGCAGATGAAGTAAGATAATATTCTAGGTATTGATACTAGGAAAATAAAGTTTGTAGATATACCGGTAATAACTAACTGGTGTATTGGTAGAGATTGGTAACAATGTTTAACCTAGTATCAATATTGCTTAACCAGCTTATCTGATAAAAAAAGAAAGTATCTAATGTGTCTTCGAGGGCACCTATTAAAAAATACTGCTCTAGTACTCTACTAGTGAGCCCCCACTACAGCCGAGATTGCTAAGAAATAATCACAAAGTTAATCAAGAGGACTGGACAAACATACAAATCATAGGAAGGTCTAATTGGAGTGTTAATTACCCAATAGGAGATACATGGCCATAAGTGCTAACACTGTGGTATACCGACTGAGCCCCTAACGCGTGTGTTTCGCCAGAGTGGCTCATCAGAGGGGAAGCAGACACAGGTATAAGTATAGGTATTTTTAAACCTCAAGATCATCAACAATTGGCGGTGCCAATGGTACAAGAGAAAGGCGTGTCCTTATGAGCCGCCAATCAGATATTAGCTCCCAACTTGCTGTGTCTGAACATAGAGAATAAAAAAGTATGGTGTACTTAAAAATAATATAATGATAAACAAAATATTTTTATATTATTAATAGTCATTATTACAAAGAAGGTGGATAGGGATGGTATGTATGCTCACAAGATAAGATTGCCAAAATGGATTATATTGATATGGAAGAATACAAAGAATACAAACAGCATAAGATCTACTGGCCATAGCCAGAACATAGCCAGAACTGATTTGATGTATTCAGAGATTCCTAAACATCAAATATATAGATATTAAAACTTGAGGCAGATGTTCAGTTCTTAGAAGAGTCATGTACTTAATAATGCTAATGACTTCTACTGTATTTCAAAAGACGAAAAAATTGCTTAGGTAGAGAACCAGGGGGGGAAGAGAATTATCCCAATGGTCAACTAAAGGGTGGAAGTTAGGAAGCTTAGTTGTGACTTTTATTGTGATTATGTGATATAAGAAAGTCTTAATTTCCTTATTCTAATTTATTAGTAATATTAGATAGAGTACAATTTATGTAAATAGAGAGGAAATGTTAACTTCCCTAATGTAAGGCTTGTTTTTACAATAAGAATAAAAGAATTACACTACACATGTACTATTAATTATGGATGAACGGAGTGAAGTTGAATTCTTCATTAAGGCCATGCGGTGAAAGTGTTTAGAGTTCATGTATCCAACTTGATTCTTTTTTTAATAGCATCAGGTTAAAGATGCCTTTCCTAGTGTTAAGGTAAATACGTTCTAGTATTTGAAAAGAAAGACTGGAAGGATCAGTGTTGTGGAAGTTTCTCACATGATTTGCCACTGGTGTAGAAATATTGGGATTTGTTATAGAGATAACAAGCTGGAGAATTTTTTCTTCTGAATTCTTCATACGTTTTGCCCACATATTGAAGTTTGCAACTGCATGTTATCCTGTCCTAATGTGTTTTATACCCCACCTCCTATAGACTGTAAGCTCGTTTGAGCAGGGTCCTCTTCAACCTATCGTTCCTGTAAGTTTTCTTGTAATTGTCCTATTTATAGTTAAATCCCCTCTCTCATAATATTGTTAAGTGTTACGGAATCTGTTGGCACTATATAAATGGTGATAATAAATAAATAAATCAAATAAACTATTTTTGTTGTGCTGCAGTTTGCAAACACCTTTATCATCTTTTTTGTATTGGTGCATTCCACTATTTTCAATGGTTTTACGTACTTACACGCCTTGCATGACCACACCCTTGTTTTTTTTTAACCATGTCTGGGGAGGTTTTTTTTTTTGGGGGGGTGGAGGTAGAGTCCTCCGGGGAGACCTCTAGCCGAGAAGGCTGCTGCTTTTGAGTGGTCGGCTGCCCCCCTCGTGTCGTTTGTTCAGGCCCTCCGTAGGCCTCAGGTTGATCCCCGGTGATAGACTGTTGCCTGCCGTTGGGTCTTCTGGCTATTGTTGCCTCTTTAATGAGCCCCTTAGTCTAGGTCTGTTGTAGAAGCAGGTTTAAGGGCTTTTTCTCGATTACTTTGGCTTCTTTTAACTTTCTGCCTGGGAGCCCATGTTGTCTGCGACTGCATGGCATTACTGCCAGGCTCCGACCCCATGCTCTATCTATTTTTAAGACTTGTTGGTATGCCTTCATGAGGATTATGTTAGGATAACCATGTTGTTTCAATTATATTTATTTATTTTTTGGTTCATTGAAAAAAAATGATTCACGTGAGCAATATCTCTTGGCCCTTAGGTTTTGTCCATATGGAATGCCAGCCTTAAGCTTATAAGTGTGATGGCTATTCCAATGGAGAGTGTTATTGCAAGAAGTGGGTTTACTGTATCATTCTGTTTCAATCACCCGTCCAGGTGTCAGTTTGATTACCAGATCAAGGAATTTGAGTCTTTCTTCACTAATTATATCAGTCATTTGAAGGCCAATGTTGTTGGTATTGAGTTTGATTACCATTTCTTCAAAGAGTTGAATTGGACCTGTCCAAAAAAAGAGGATGTCGTCTATATATCGGTGCCAACTTAAAATAAATTCATTGCACCCAGTTAACAGTGTTTCTTTAAGGACTGTAGCTTCCCAACAGCCTAGATATAAGTTGGCATAGCTAGGGGCACAAGCCATATCCATTGCTGTGCCTCTAGGCTGTAATTAGTAATTGCCATTAAAAGTAATTGTGGGTAAGTATGAATGCCAATAGTTCCAGAAGAAAAACCCATTGGATTGTTGTGAATTTGTGTGATTTTTCCAGAAAAACTACTGTTGCTCTTAGGCCGAGGAATTGTGAGGAATGTTATATTGTGAGGAATGTTATTATGAAGTATAACAACATCCAGACTTGCTATGAGAGTGTATGGTGGAATAGTTAAATTTCCTAGGATCAACAGGGTTTGTTTAGTGTCTTGTATAATTGAGGGTAGATCCATAACAAAAGGGTGCAGTATTTTTTCCAAGAACTTACTTGCTTGCTCTGTTGGTCTACTATTAGGCAGGATACATCTAGTAGACAGCCACTAGAGGAGGACTTAACCCTTCAATGTAAATATTGCAGTTTATGGAAACTGCAATAATTACACTTGCAGGGTTAAGGGTAGTGGGAGTTTGCACTCAGACCACTCCAAAGGGCAGAAGCAGTGGCGTCTCTAGGATTCATTTTTAGGGGAGGCACATGGAGGGCCCTCACTGCAGTTTGACCCCGCCCCTGCTGCATGTTAAGCCCCGCCCCCAACACAATGTGTTTTTTGTATTTTTTTCATAATCCCTGGTGGAGAATTCATTATTTTACACCAAGGATTATTAAAAGACAAACAGATTTTCCTTGAGACAGTCCATACACACACACACACAGACTTCTGAGTCCTTACACACACAGAGACTGCTGAGTCCATACACACAGAGACTGCTGACCATGCACACACACACACACACACACACAGACTGCTGAGTCCATACACACACAGACTGCTGAGTCCATACAAACACAGACACATTGACTGCTGAGTCCACACACACAGACTGCTGAGTTCATACAGTCACACACACAGACTGCTGGGTCCATACACACACACACACACACACACACACACACTGCTGAGTCCATACAAACACAGACACATTGACTGCTGAGTCCACACACAGAGACTGCTGAGTCCATACACACACACACACACAGATTGCTGGGTCCATCCACACACACACACACACACACACACACACACACACACACACACACACACACACACACACACAGACTGTTGAGTCCATACACACACAGACTGTTGAGTCCATACACACAGACAGAGACTGCTGAGTCCATACACACACACACAGAGACTGCTGAGTCCATACACACACACAGACAGAGACTGCTGAGTCCATACACACACACAGGGACTGCTGAGTCCATACACACACACACACACACAGACTGCTGAGTCCATACACACACAGAGACTGCTGAGTCCATACACACACAGAGACTGCTGAGTCCAAACACACACACACAGACTGAGTCCATACACACACAGACTGCTGAGTCCATACACACACACACACACACACACACACACACAGACTGCTGAGTCCAAACACACACAGACACACAGACTGCCGAGTTCACACACACACACACACACAGACTGCTGGGTCCATCCACACACACAGGATGCTGAGTCCATACACACACACACACACACACAAAGACTGCTGAGTCCATAAACACAGAGACTGCTGAGTCCATACACACACAGACTGCTGAGTCCATACACACATACATACTGCTGAGTCCATACGCACACACAGACTGCTGAGTCCACACACACACAAACTGCTGAGTCCATACACACACACACACAGACTGCTGAGTCCAAAAAAAAAAGACTGCTGAGTCCACACACACACAGACTGCTGAATCCATACACACAGAGACTGCTGAGTCCATACACACAGAGACTGCTGAATCCATGGGGGCGGGCCTATTCCCGGGAGCCTGTCAGTACACCCTCCAGCCACAGACAACACCCAGCACCTCAGTCCTGCATTCCCTCGGGCTGTCACAGACTGTTACAGCCCGAGGGAATATAATTTTAAGTACAGCATATGGCCAGGAAGTTGCCAGTGTTTGGGGGGACTCAAGGGGGGCACAGCATGAAGTGGGGGGGGGGCATGGCCCCCTCTGCTCCCCCCCTAGCGACGCCACTGGGCAGAAGTGGTCCGGATGCCTGGAGTGTGCCTTTAAATTATGGGATATTAAGCTATCTTACAAATGTATTTAGGTGCTAACCTCATACTTGTTTTCTGTTTTCTGAAATCTAGTTTACCTCAGCAAATAAAAATTGCATATAATTATAATTAGAATGATATAGTGATATAGAGTGTTAATGTTACTATGTAGATATAGGAAATGTACAAGCAACTGAACAATTTAGTACCAATGTCATCTTTGTGGAACACGTATTTATTGGTTAAAGTAACAGATACATCTGCAAAGACCACAAACTTGTTTTTTTTTTTTTTTTAAACAATTTTTACATTTCCCTTGATAGTATAGGTAAGGGAACCCCAATCAAAAATGTTGCCCTTCTGAACATCCTTATTCCTGAAACCGGCTCTAAGTGCTTTCAGTGAAATAACTCTGTTCCACATGTTTAGGTCTTTAATTTTTCCAATGTAGCTTTGACTTGCATCAAATCCTTCTCCCAGGGAGTCTTGATCCTGACCCACAATGGCAATACCACCATGGCGTACTTGGTGCCTTCTGTTATAAACTTGCATTGGTTTTCTTCTACCGTTGAGCCATAGCTCAGTACGACCATATTTTGACTCCCACGTTAGACAAAGATGGTTCCATTCATTTTTCTTATTTATTGGTGGGAAGAAGACACCCTCTCCACTCATATAGAAGCCAATCTTTCCATTGGATTCAATCCACAGATTTAATTCATCAAAATATTGTGTACGATATGAAAACAGGATAGTTTCTCGATTCTCAGAAACATTTAGTGACAGCCTCATACAAAGCGTAAATGCTTTCAGATTCATTGGTTGTTGTGGAGATAGGTACACAACGCTGTTGTCACTTTCTCCAGGGAAGAAGAAAGCGTTTCCTCTAAGATCTAAGAAATAATATACAACTTTTGACTATAAACAGTATAAAACACAGCTGTCAAGTTATTATTTTTTATACATTGAAGTCTCACTTACCCTTGGTAATCTCTTGGTTTTTTTCTGTTGATGCCAATATCTCGTCTGTAAAGAGTGAAAACATATATCAGGATATAAGAGATAGGAAAGGATAGGATACCAATGATTGCTTTGTTTGGGCCCTCTTCAACTCTTGTTTTCTGGCAACATTATTTTGATTGTGAAATACTTGCTAACATATGTAGAAAAAGGGGTAATACACGCTCACTATAGTATTTACCCACAAGATAGATATGGGCTGCAGTAACCAGTTCAATGATTCCCAAACATTGTGGATAGTTGAAGTATGAAAAGGGTAGGGGAATATATAAGGGTATTTATTTTTGTACATATACTGTTGGGCGCGGTTTCCCCTACCCTTTTCATACTTGCTGACATATATGCCCACTCAGTCATTGCAAACTGCTCTCCACATTATATAATTTAAATGAAACCATTAGATTAAAGGACCACTATAGGCACCCAGACCACTTCAGCTTAATGAAGTGGTCTGGGTGCCTGGTCCAGCTAGGGTTAACCCTTTTTATTATAAACATAGCAGTTTCAGAGAAACTGCTATGTTTAAATTAGGGTTAATCCAGCCTCTAGTGGCTGTCTCATTGACAGCTGCTAGAGGGCTTCCGCGTTTCTCACTGTGAAAATCAGTGAGAAGATGCCAGCGTCCATAGGAAAGCATTGTGAATGCTTTCCTATGGACTGGCTGAATGCGCGCACGGCTCCTGCCGCGCATGCGCATTCAGCCGAAGAGGAGGAGAAGAGGGAGGAGGAGAGCTCCCCGCCCGGCGCTGGAGAAAGAGGTAAGTTTAACCCCTTCCTCTCCATCCAGCCCGTTGGGAGGGGGACCCTGAGGGTGGGGGCACCCTCAGGGCACTATAGTGGTCCTTTAACACCTAAATAATAACTTTCACTTTTTTTAATACACCACCATCAAATATTCAGAAAAAAAAAATCATCAAATACTATATAATAGTTTTTCGTTTTTTTCTATGATGTATTTTCTACCAATATGACTAACATGTACATACATGTGCTTAACCTGTAAGGATGATTATATCTTCCTCTAAGGGCTTAATTCACTAAACTCCAAAACGTGAATTGAATCTGAATGGCAAAATTCAGTCAAAAATAGCCAATATGGAAAAAATATCCAGCTATACATAGTCGTTAGGGCTGTTAGAGCAACATAGGAGAACCACTTCAAGAAAAGTTGAGGATCTCTTCAGATATTGAGTTAGTATATAAAATACTTACCAGAATGAGGAGAGGGCAGTAAGTCTGTAATGTTTAAAAACAGAAAACAATAGACAAAATGTTAAGTGTGTTCTCTGTTAAATCAAAAACTATTTTGATGTGATGTGAGTAAGCCAAAACTCGTTATTGTATTATTCATGCTATCTTAACAAATTTAGGTCACATATTAAGAATTTTCTCAATAGGGAATATAGGAGAATAGTCTTCTGTCTATTTAATTAGTAATTTAAAAAAAAGTCTGCACTAAATGATAGACTTGATAGACCTTATTTCCTTCTTGTAAAAAATAAATAAATATATATATATATATTTTACTGAGCTAATAACTAATTTAACTGTGGCCAGCCTAAGGCACACCTGTACAATAATCATGCTGTCTTATCAGCATCTTGATATGCCACACCTGTGAGGTGGATGGATTATCTCGGCAAAGGAGAAGTACTCACTAACACAGATTTAGACAGATTTGTGAACAATATTTGAGAGAAATAGGCATTTTGTGTACATAGAAAAAGTCTGAGATCTTTGAGGTCAGCTCATGAAAAATGGGGGCAGAACAAAAATGTTGCATTTATAATTTTGCTCAGTGTATTTATTTTTAATGTTAGCATTGTTTTAATTGTTCCTTTAATACATTGTGTTTAAGTAAGACATGTAAGCATTGCACAAGAAAAACTGTTGTTCCAGATAGGAAGCTCTTCTCAGGCTGGTAACTAAGGGCTTTGCTCATTTGGCTGAGAGAGGTCAGCTATATGTCAGCTGTAGAGGAGGCAGGCAATAGCGTCTGGCAGTGTATGGAGTTTGTTTTCTTTCAAATTCTCTCGCTCTCTCTCTCTCTCTCTATATATATATATATATATATATATATATATGTATATATTTCCCGGACATATCCATGGTAGCACTACAGCTGGGTATAGCTCCTCCAATGCTCAGATTGAACAGGGAACACCTCCTAATTAAACGAATAAAAAAGAGATCCTACCCCTTAGTCCCCAGTCGTCCCTTCTGGCAGAAGGCGTAATTTGCCGAGTTCCCCAAGGAGAAGAAGGTTTGGGTTATTACTCAAGGCTTTTTCTGACCCCAAAGTCTTCAGGAATATGGACACCGATCTTGGATCTTCATGAGCTCAACGAGCAATTAGCTGTCAGAAACTTCAAAATGGAATCCATCAGTTCCATCGTAAAGGTCGTATCTCCAGGAGACTGGATGATATCTATAGACCTTCAAGATACCTACTTCCATGTTCCCATTGCCATTCCTCACCAAAAATTCATGAGGTTCACAATAAAGCATCATCATTTTCAATTCGGTCTCAGCATGGCACCGAGAACCTTTACAAAGGTCCTGGTTTCTCTCATAACTCTCATTCACCTAGAAGGGATCTCCATTTTTCATTACCTAGACGATATCCTGGTTCTTTCACACAGCAGGAATCTCCTTGTTTCTCACCGAGACAGAATTCTCCATCATTTTCAAATATTCGGATGGGTCATCAATTACAAAAAGAGTCAGCTTCTTCCTTCCCAGAACATCATCTATCTGGGAGCAAGTTTCAATACAGTCAAAGCAACAGTCTCCCTCTCAAGGGAAAAGGGCCAAAGGATCCAACAGAAAATCCTCCATTTTCTGACAGTAAAGTCAGTGACAGCCAGAGAATTTATGAGCCTTTTGGGGAGTCTATCCTCAACAATAGGCCTCACAAGATGGGCTCAGTGGCACATGAGGATTCCTCAGTCACAATTCCTTCTACAATATTTAAACCAGGGTCTGAACCAACAGATCTTAATTTCCTCCAAGGTGAAAAAAGAGCTTGCCTGGTGGTTAAAAGATCAAAATCTGTACCTCGGTTTCCCTCTGGGTCACATTCATTGGATCACAATAACTACAGATGCCTGTCAGACTGGTTGGGGGGCACATCTGGATTCTATGCACATCCAAGGCCTTTGAAACCACGGTCAGTTTCATCTTCCCTCGAATATCCTGGAAATGAAAGCAGTATTCCAAGCCCTTCTCCGATTTCCCTCTCTAAAACAGCAATGGGTGAAGATCAGGGTGGACAATACTTCGGTGGTGGCTTATCTCTATCATCAAGGGGGAACAAGAAGCAAACAGTTGATGAAGATTCTCCCCCCCCCCCCCTTATGGCCTGGGCAGAATTGAACCTGGAAGGATTGAAGGCAGTTCATCTTCCAGGGAAGATGAATCAAGTTGCAGATGTCCTAAGCAAAGTTTCCCTGGATCCAACAGAATGTCCCTCTCTGTGGAGGTTTTCCACAGCATCGTTCTACAGTGGGAACTCCCTCAAGTGGACCTCATGGCTACCCACCTGAACAAGAAAGTGACAAGGTTCTATTCGCGGTTCTCCAACCCTTTGACGGAAGACAGGGATGCCCTGTCCTGCGAGTGGAAGTTCGTCCAGGGATATGTGTTTCCTCCAACTGCTCTGATTGTTCCTCTATTAAAGAGGATTCAATGAGAGCCAGTGATTGTCAGTGCCATCATTCCCCTTTGGCCAAGACGTCCTTGGTTTCCACTTTTGCAGAAGCTATCTCAGGAACCTCCTTTGGATCTATCAAGCCATCCTCAGCTCCTTCATCAAGGTCCGGTATTCCATCCTACACCCCAATTGTTGAAATTGATGGCATAGAAATTGAGAGGCAACAACTGTTAGGTAAGGGGTTTTCGGCCTCGGTCACAGATACCCTTCTGAAAGCAAGAAAGAAGTTCACTTCATCTGCTTATCATTGGATATGGGGCATTTTTAGTGAATGGTGTACTTGTCATGAAGTTCCCTTTGAAACATTCTGCAGTTCCTACAAGATGGTTTTGAGAGAGGTTTAAGTGTGAGTTCTTTAAGAGTCCAGATTTCTGCTCTTTTCATTCTTTTAGACACAAAGCTGGCCTTCGTTCTGGATATTAGCAGATTTTTCCGAAAGATTCTGAAGAATTGCCCCCCAATTAAATCCTCTTCTCCATCCTGGGATCTGCCTCTGGTTCTTCAGGCTCTATCTATTCCTCCCTTTGAACCCCTGGAAGAGATTTCGATGTCTACATTGACTTTAAAAACAGTTCTTTTAGTGGTCCTTACTTCAGGGCAAAGGATTTCGGAGCTTCAAGCACTCTCGTGTGAGCCTCCTTTTCTGATCTTTCAAGACAATAGAGTCATTTTAAGGACTGTTCCGGCCTTTCATCCTAAAGTCGTTTCTTCCTTCCACGTAAATCAAGACATTGTGCTTCCTGCCTTTTTTTCCAATCCTGCAACAGAAACAGAGGAAAAATGGCATTGCCTGGATTTATGTACAACGTACTTCTGCTATCAGGAAATCCTCCAGAATTTTTGTTATTCCATCAGGTCACAAGCTGGGACAAGTAGCATCCTCCTCTTCCATCGGGCGTTGGATTGTGTCAGCTATCTCCCAGGCTTACCAGGCATCTGGAGTACCTATCCCATTGAGTTTTCGGGCTCACTCTACTAAAGCGTTAGCCTCTTCTTGGGCAGCTGCAGTCAATGTTTCTCCTGACCGAATCAGTTCAGCAGCAACCTGAAGGTCCTTTAATATGTTTTGTCCATCACTATCGATTGGATGTTGCCAGATCTTCCAGTTCTTCCTTTGGGAGAAGTGTTCTGGCTTCAGCTTTATAATAAAGTTTTATTTTGCATTTAAAAAAAATTGACTGGTTTTATATTTTTTTCCTTTTCCTTTGTAATATTTATTTTGTAATACTTCTTTAATTGGAACTCAACTGCAGAATTTCCTGGTTGCAGCAACAATAAGTTTCACCTCCTTTTATATTGATATGAAACAATGGTCACTGTACCTTTAAATACACATGAAGGTAAAATTAGGCTTTGTAGCAATCCCTTATGAATAAGAGGAATAATTAGACAAAGTGACACTTTAGTGAGTTTTAGATACTGTGTAACATAAATAATAGGAATTGGCTTGTTTGGTAAAAGTATTACTTAACTTAAAGGCAGTTCTGGCACTGGAAGGGTTAATTCACCCAATGAAGGAGAAATTAGAAGTCCGTTTCAACAAGCTGAGAACTAGGAGTGGAGAGTGGGGAAGTCCGTTTTAACAAGCCGAGGTCTGGGAGTGGAGAAGGTAGAATTCAGAGTTACAAGCCGAGGTCTAGGAGTGGAGAAGGTAGAAATCCGTTTACAAGCCGAGGTCGAGAAGTGGAGAAGGTAGAAATCCGTTTACTAGCCGAGGTCGAGAAGTGGAGAAGGTAGAAATCCGTTTTACTAGCCGAGGTATAGAAGTGGAGCAGGTAGGATCAAAAGTAGAGCAGCTGATCTTCCTGCAGCACCTGTGCGAATAATCCAGCCCTTTGAATCTGGCGCGGTCTTCCTAAGTATCGTGGAGGGACCGCGTCAGAAAAAAGGGCGGGGCTGAGCGCCGTGAACCCGGAAGTGGGTTCCGGCGACGAAATAATGCCATACTATACCTGACAGTACCCCCTTCTCATGGGGCATCCTCTGGGTGCACTATTTCGGTTTGGAGGGGTAGCGTTTGTGAAAGGCAGTAACTAACCTCCTAGCATGTACATTAGATGAATCTTCCCAAGTGTCTTCATCAACTCCATAACCTTTCCATCTGATAAGGTATTGTAAGGAGCCACGGTGGACACGAGAATCCAAAATTTTGTGAATTTCATATTCTTCTTCACCTTGGACAATGATAGGTTCAGGAGTTGTTACTATTTCTCTATAAAAAGGATCAGGGATGTGTGGTTTAAGTAAGGAGACATGGAATACTGGATGAAGTTTAAAACTTGGAGGAAGTTTTAGTTTAACAACGTTATCATTAATGATAGTAATTACTTGAAAGGGACCAAGAAAAAGAGAGCTCAATTTCTTTGAAGGACGGCTTGTGGTAATATTCCTTGAAGAGAGCCAGACAAGATCCCCTACCTTGTAAGGAGGGGGAATTCTTCTATTATTGTCAAAAAACTTTTTCTGGTTATTTTGGGCGAGTTGAAGATTCTCCCGTAATTTGAGAAATAGAGAAGACATAAATTCGTTTTTTGATGTAACAGTAGGATTGGATGAAGTAATGGTTTGGATGGGGAATGAAGACGGATGAAAACCATAGTTGGAGAAGAAAGGAGTCATTTTCGTACTAGAATGAATGGTATTATTGTAAGAAAATTCGGCCATAGGTAACCATGTGGTCCAGTCATCTTGGAGGTATGAACAATAACATCAAAGATATTGTTCCAAACATTGATTAACCCTTTCTGTTTGCCCATTAGTTTGGGGATGATAAGCGGAAGAGAGTTTGCGTTGAATTTGAAGGGAGAGACACATCTCTTTCCAGAATTTGGAGGTAAATTGTGTCCCCCTATCAGAAATAATTTCTTCAGGAAGACCATGAAGTTTCACAATATTGTCAATAAAGACCTTAGACAATTCTACAGAGGAGGGTAATTTTTTTAAGGAAATGAAATGGGACATTTTTGTGAAGCGATCCACAACGACAAGAATAGTGGTGAAATGTTGAGAAGGTGGAAGATCAACGATAAAATCCATAGAAATGGATTGCCAAGGTTTTTCTGGAATAGGTAAGTTAAGTAGTAATCCAAAAGGTTGATTATGTTCTGGTTTAGACCTTTGACAGATAGGACATGTTTTGACATATAATTCAATGGTTCTATCCTGGCGAGGCCACCAATAATATCGTGAAGTTAGTTCAAGTGTTTTCTTTATTCCAGGATGTCCAGCTAGGGGTGAATCATGAACCATCTTAAGTAATTTATTCCTAAAAATGGGAGGAATATAAATTCTATTTTTAAAATAAAATATACCATCCTTTTTTGTTAGTATAGGTGTTTTGGGAAGTTCAAGATCCTTCTGATTCAAATTCTTTATGTCATCATGAAGAGAAGAGAGGATCCCTATTATTTTGTTAGGAGGGTAATCATCAATAGTGGTTTTAGAAGGAATTCGAGAAAGAGCGTCAGCCTTTTTATTTCTAGTTCCAGGTCTGTATATTAATTGGAAGTTAAATCGGTTAAAAAATAGGTTCCATCTAACTTGTCTGGCCGTAAGGGTTTTGTTAGTATAGAGATATTCAAGATTTTTATGGTCAGTATAAACTATTATAGGTTGTTTTGTATCTTCCAGAAGATGACGCCAATTTTCTAAGGCAGCTTTAACACTTAATAATTCTTTTTCACCAATAGGATAATTTTTTTCAGCAGAGCTCAAGGATCTTGAAAAAAAGGCAACTGGATGAAGTGGATCTTGTGGAGTCTTTTGTTGAGAAAGAACTGCTCCGATGGCTGCGTCTGATGCATCAACTTCAAGAACATATAGGAATGTTGGATTAGGTAGTTGTAGAATAGGTGCAGTTGTAAATCTTTTTTTTAATTCGTCGAAGGCTGTTTGTGCATCTTTATTCCAATTGAAAGGACGTTTACTACTGTTGAGGAGGTTAAGAGGATGTGATACATCCGAATAGTTTCTAATAAATATTCTATAGAAGTTTGCAAATCCAAGAAAACGTTGTAATTCTTTTGTAGTAGTAGGAGCGGGCCAGTCAATAATACATTTGATTTTGGAATTATCCATCTTCAAAGAATGAGGTGAAATAATGTATCCTAGAAAAGAGAATTCAGTAACCTCAAAAAGGCATTTTTCTGGTTTAGCGTATAATTTATAAGTTCTCAGTCTAGATAGAACCCATCTAACATGCTTCCTATGTTCATCCAAATTGTTAGAATATATTAAGATATCATCTAAGTAGATAATAACACATACATCCAGAAGATCTCTAAAGATATCATTTATAAAATGTTGAAATGTTGCAGGGGCATTACAGAGCCCAAAAGGCATCACTAGATATTCGTAGAGACCATATCTTGTCCGGAAGGCGGTTTTCCATTCATCATTCTGTTTTATTCTAATGAGGTTATATGCGCCTCGAAGGTCGAGTTTAGTGAATATAGTTGCAGTTCTTAACCTTTCAATTAATTCATTTATTAGTGGAAGAGGATAACGATTTTTAATAGTTATTTTATTTAAGGCTCTGTAATCTATAATAGGACGGATGGTTTGGTCTTTATTCTTCACAAAGAAATAACTAGAAGCAGCTGGGGAGGTCGAGGGTCTGATGAACCCTTTGCGTAAATTTTCATTAAGATATTCTTTTAAAATTTCTAACTCCTTTTCAGAGAGTGGATAAATATGACCATAAGGAATAGGAGCTCCAGGTATGAGATCTATTGGGCAATCATATACCCGATGAGGAGGAAGTGTTTCTGCTTCTTTTTTACAAAAGACATCTGCAAAATCGGAGTAGAATGGAGGTATAACTGGTTCTACAGTAGTTTGGAGAATAGGAATGTGTTGTAAGCACGTTTTCTTACAGAAATCAGAAGCAAAGGAGATGGAGAAGGGAGACCACTTAATTAAAGGATCATGGGTTTTTAACCAATTAATTCCTAGAATGACGGGATAAAGTGGAGATTTAATAATATCAAATGTAATGAATTCGAAATGTACATTGTTGGTAATCATTCTTAGAGGGATTGTCTCATCTTTGATGGGTCCTGAGGATATAAATGAACCGTCAATAACTCTGATTGGAATAAAGTTAGTTTTTTCAACACAAGGAATTTTATTTTTTGAAACAAAAGAAAAATCAAGAAAAGTTCCATTAGTACCAGAATCAATGATGGCCTCAGTCACGATTCTTTTTGTATCCCACTGTAATATGAGAGATATAGAAAAATAAGTAGATGCTTTTCTTTTTTGAAAAACGTTCAATATAGAGGTAGATGAATGAAGCTTACCACCTTTTGAATGTTTCAGTAGAGGACATTTGGAAATTAGATGTTCGTTCGAAGCACAATACATACATAAGTTTAGTTGTCTCCTTCTTATTCTTTCTTCAGAAGTAAGAGGACTTTTTATTATACCTACTTCCATAGGTTCAGTTTGTGGAGGAATTTTTTCAGGTAGTTTTAGAGTAGTGAACGGTTTTCTCCAGGTAGAATTAGTAAGAACCCTTTCAGCTTTTCTTTCTCTTAGACGTCTATCAATACTGATGGACAGTTGAATCAATGCATTTAAGGTAGGAGGAAGTTCTGTACGAGAGAGTTCATCTTTCACAGCTTCAGATAATCCGAGACGGAATTGATTGCGTAAAGTAATGTCATTCCATTGGGTTTCTGTAGCCCATCTTTTGAATTCTGCAATATAATCTTCAACAGGTCTATTCTTTTGGTGTAATGTTCTGATGGTTAAATCAGCAGTAGTTTGTTTAAAAGGATCTTCATATAATAAAGACATAGCTTCAAAGAACTCATCCAATGAATCTAATATGGGATCATCATTTTCCAAAAAGGAATGGGCCCAGGCCATAGGTTCACCTCTTAAAAAAGAGATCACTGAACAGACTTTGGATCTTTCGGTGGGATAAGATCTAGGTTTTAAAGCTATTAGTAGTTTGCAAGAATTCAAAAACTCTCTGTACTTTGTTCTATCTCCATAACATTTTTCTGGATTACAGACAGCAGGATCACCAGCCGATTGAAGAGCGGCATGAGGAAGATGACCTTGAATGTCTCTAACATAGGTTAATATTCTCTCATTTGTAATTTGCAGTTCCTGTAACCCGTGAGCAATCGTATCCACTCTATTGGTTAGGGCAGAAACTTGAGAGTTGATATCTGCTGGTTCCATTGAAAAGGCTGGATTATTCTGTAATATTTATTTTGTAATACTTCTTTAATTGGAACTCAACTGCAGAATTTCCTGGTTGCAGCAACAATAAGTTTCACCTCCTTTTATATTGATATGAAACAATGGTCACTGTACCTTTAAATACACATGAAGGTAAAATTAGGCTTTGTAGCAATCCCTTATGAATAAGAGGAATAATTAGACAAAGTGACACTTTAGTGAGTTTTAGATACTGTGTAACATAAATAATAGGAATTGGCTTGTTTGGTAAAAGTATTACTTAACTTAAAGGCAGTTCTGGCACTGGAAGGGTTAATTCACCCAATGAAGGAGAAATTAGAAGTCCGTTTCAACAAGCTGAGAACTAGGAGTGGAGAGTGGGGAAGTCCGTTTTAACAAGCCGAGGTCTGGGAGTGGAGAAGGTAGAATTCAGAGTTACAAGCCGAGGTCTAGGAGTGGAGAAGGTAGAAATCCGTTTACAAGCCGAGGTCGAGAAGTGGAGAAGGTAGAAATCCGTTTACTAGCCGAGGTCGAGAAGTGGAGAAGGTAGAAATCCGTTTACTAGCCGAGGTATAGAAGTGGAGCAGGTAGGATCAAAAGTAGAGCAGCTGATCTTCCTGCAGCACCTGTGCGAATAATCCAGCCCTTTGAATCTGGCGCGGTCTTCCTAAGTATCGTGGAGGGACCGCGTCAGAAAAAAGGGCGGGGCTGAGCGCCGTGAACCCGGAAGTGGGTTCCGGCGACGAAATACATGCCATGCTATACCTGACATCCTTTTTGTTTTTAGCTTGGGTATTACCCAGCTGTATTGCTGCCCTGGATATGTCCGGGAAAATAGAACATTAGTTCATACTTACCGATATTTTCTTTTCCCGGATATAGGCCATGGCAGCACAATGATCCCGCCCTTTTTGTTTGTTTGTGGCTAGGGATTAAAGGACCACTATAGTGCCAGGAAAACATACCTCAGGGACCCCCTCCCGCCCGGCTCTGGAAGGGGGAAAGGGGTAATAACTTACCTTTTTCCAGCGCTGGGTGGAGAGCTCTTCTCCTCCTCTCCGCCTCCGATCCGCCCCGCCGGCTGAATGCGCACGCGCGGCAGAGCTGCGCACGCATTCAGCCGGTCTCATAGGAAAGCATTTACAATGCTTTCCTATGGACGCTGGCGTGCTCTCACTGTGATTTTCACAGTGAGAAGCACGCAAGCGCCTCTAGTGGCTGTCAATGAGACAGCCACTAGAGGATTAGGGGGAAGGCTTAACCCATTCATAATTATAGCAGTTTCTCTGAAACTGCTATAATTATGAAAAAATGGGTTAACCCTAGCTGGACCTGGCACCCAGACCACTTCATTAAGCTGAAGTGGTCTGGGTGCCTAGAGTGGTCCTTTAAGACTGGGGACTTAGGGGTATGATCTCTCTTTTATTTGTTTAATTAGGAGGTGTTCTTGCCCAATCTGAGAGTGGGAGGAGCTATACCCAGCTGTAGTGCTGCCATGGCCTATATCCGGGAAAAGAAAATATCGGTAAGTATGAATACATTTTCTATTATCGCACATACACACACACAAACCTACCTTGTATTTTAGCAGGATGCGCAAACACTTGGACTTCACATACTGATAGGAACTCTTCAATATCTGGTAAAGTTACAGTAACATAACGTCCCTCCATCCCTTTACAGTTAAAGGACATTGTTTCTCCATAATACATCTTGTACACAAATCCACATCTAGAAAACAGATAATGATTGAAGGTTATATTAAATTATCTCAAAGAGATGATGAACTATGTTTTTGAGTTATATCACTGAAAATGTATTTTTAACCGATACACTTACAGCCCAGCAAACTGAATACAGAAATGTGTTTTATCAGTAATTGTTATTACACAATGAATAGGAATAAAGCAGATAGACTAGAGGGGCATTGATATAACCACATAGGTTATAAATCCCAACAAAAGTATCATATGCAGTCATGAATATTGAACAAAAGTGAAATAGCTTACCATACAGAATTATTTTTACATTGGCATTTCTGAAACTGGTTTTGGTTAACTTATGGCTTTCCATGGTCACTTCAGACTGGTCCCATTAATTAGATCATGTGGGTCCTAAGTGCCAGGAAAACCTCCATGAACCAAGTTAGCTAAAACTTGTTTGAAATGGTTCCAAGTGTGGGCTGCTGCTGTCCATTTTCATTAAGAAATTCCAGCATGTTTTATGTTAAATAATTTGCCTGAATATTTTTCTGTAAATTATATCAAGAAAGATATATGGAGAGAGAATCGCACCAGGTTATTTACTAAAATAATGAGAATTGTCGGGAATTCAAAGCAAATTTAAAATCAAATGTCAAAATAGAATTGAATATCATTTTCCAGTGAGCTGTGCATCCAGTTCGGGTATTGTGATCTAAAATCTAATATTCACTTTAAATTCAGTTTAAATTCCCAACATTTCTCAATTCAATAATAATCCTGTAGCAAGCTGCTACGTTTCTAGGTCCTTGGTGTGTTACATGAATAAAATTCAAGAATTACATAGGACAGTCCATGAGTAAAATTATTTGAAGAAAAGCAATCTGGTGAGCACCCAGAGGTCCACATAAAAATGTAATTACATATCATTTTTAATCAAGAGTTACTCAATCATACATTGTTACCTGGGATTATTAATGCCTCCATTTTCTGCAGAATTCCCAATTAGGATCTTTGCCCCATTGATCCTTTCTCGGCAGCAGTCACCACGGTTGGTGATGGCGACTGACTGTACAACCATTTTGGATTTTAAGTCTAATTTCCACCACGGATTCTTTTCTTTTTTCGTGTGAGTGCATTCGCCTAGCAGGTAATTACTGGCCAAAGATCCATCAATAGCTGTTCTAGCTTCTAGCCTGCTTCCAAAATGGCTGGACTGTGAAGAAATACCTTGGGGAGCGATGTTTTTAACTGGGGAACATAGATTGTGCTAATTAGCTTTATTTTACAGCTGTATTTTTAAAAAATGTTTCAGGGTCAGGGTTTTGTCAAACACATGACAGGCGCAAAGTCGGATTTGCCGGCATATGCGCTAACCTTACCCAAACCCCCATTAAAACACAGACACAGGTTATACTGTTGGAAATAATTCGTCCACAGCTTTATTAAATTATTAATAAAATAATTAAAGAATAACAAATGGGGTCATTGCCAACAAATCTTAATAATGTTAACCTCCCCCATATACATAACATACCCCTAGCAATGACCCCACAATAATAACAATAGATAACAATCTAAATAACAGGTTAACACAGAAACTGGCCGCCCAATTTGACCACATTTGCACCAGGTTAAATTGTAGGTGTGTACCGAGACACCGCTACCCACCATATCCATTGTAGGGGTGTACCAAGACACCGCTACCCACCATATCCATTGTAGGGGTGTACCAAGACACCGCTACCCACCAGTTCCAGTGTAGGGTGTACCAAGACACCACCACACCCCCAGGTTCGGAGCCACCGACGGGCTCGAACCTACCAACCACGTGCAACACTGCCCAATCCACACTAAACCTCAGGATGCCCACTTTCTCCTCCATCTACCCTCCGATTTAACCAGGCCATTCCCCGCCGCTGTGAAAAAACGGGAAATCAACTAACCTAACCAAATACAGGGAGGGTGGGAGGGACAACTGACAGGTAAGCTTAGGTTCAGTTAAAATGGCCACTTCATATAATGGCTGGTATAAATACTCCCCTTATGGCTCCGCCCTACCCAGCATGCTAGCTGTCACTAAATTCCTGTGGCTGCTATGCCTACCTCCTGGCTCTGTCAAGGCCTATTCCTCTTAGCTGCGCTGATCCATGGGCTACATGACAGGCGCACAGTCGGATTTGCCGGCATATGAGCTAACCTTACCCAAACCCCCATTAAAACACGGACACAGGTTATACTGTTGGAAATAATTCGTCCACAGCTTTATTAAATTATTAATAAAATAATTAAGGAATAACAAATGGGGTAATTGCCAACAAATCTTAATAATGTTAACCTCCCCCATATACATAACATACCCCTAGCAATGACCCCACAATAATAACAATAGATAACAATCTAAATAACATGTTAACACAGAAACTGGCCGCCCAATTTGACCACATTTCCACCAGGTTAAATTGTAGGGTGTACCGAGACACCGCTATCCACCATATCGATTGTAGGGGTGTACCAAGACACCGCTACCCACCATATCCATTGTAGGGGTGTACCAAGACACCGCTACCCACCAGTTCCAGTGTAGGGTGTACCAAGACACCACCACACCCCCAGGTTCGGAGCCACCGACGGGCTCGAACCTACCAACCACGTGCAACACTGCCCAATCCACACTAAACCTCAGGATGCCCACTTTCTCCTCCATCTACCCTCCGATTTAACCAGGCCATTCCCAGCTCAGGACTTGACACCTATAACTCCTGAGCGACCCCCACCACACCGGAATAAGGCCTGTTGAATGCCTTCCTGAGTACCCAGGGAGCTTTCCTCCCAATTCGTTGTGTCTCACTGTTACACCGCCCCCACATCTGATAAATACCGCCATCAATTTCTTATTAAGTCATCCTCGACACCGAGCTACCATGGCCGGGTACGTAGTATGTCTCCAATGTAACCGAGGAACCATCTCGGACCGCACCACCACCACACCCGTGGCCAGCTCCCATAGCCGGTCCACCTCCCTCTGCCTCCACCTGATCAATTCCTTTTCCGGGACCATGCCAATATCCAGAATGTCCTGGACAGTACCCCTTGTTACCAACCGGAAAATTTTCTCCCCTAATGTCTTGCCACCAAAATCCCCGAAAACCAAAACCACTCCTGCTCCACCAATTCCAAAGGAAAGCCCAGTTGCTTTTGAACTGAAACGCGGCTCCCATCTGTGCCCCTTAGATATAAGAATGACCCACCAACCATGTCACCAAACCTGAAACGAAAGTAATTAGCGACAAGGCATAGCCCCAAACACAAACCCATACGTTCATAGCCATTAAACCAAATAGACTGGCCTGAAACAGGACTTAAACCGTACTGACTTCCACCTGCCTAAACGTTTCCCTAGGTCCTCACTTAAAACCAGGCGGGGCGCCTCTGTTACCGCCATCATCCGGGAAGAATGGGTCCCAAAGTGCCCAGGATCCAAACCCTACATTTTCAAACCCCTCCGAACAAACACCTGCGGGAATTGAATCGTGACAGCACCGATCTGTCCCCTTTTACCAGTTAGCTACCCAGGATGTCCGGGCAAAGCTCCAAGCAGCATGATGCGCTTAACACCGGGCGTACCCCTGACCCCGGCAGGGAATATAGCTTTACCCAACCTCCTTTACCAGACACATCCGTTCTTGAACAACCCTACTGAATCGTTACCTTAACCGACTGAGGTTCGACAACCGAGTGTAGAACCCCCCAACACCTGCCCGAAGGCACTCACCAGTTCCCCAATCCAAATTGCCCCAAGCCTCCGAGAAGGCCACCGCAAGCAAACTCACTGCAAAAGTAGAGAAATACACCACCAGGCGTTGCGTTACCCAAGGAAACCCGCCGCCAGGCACCGACATATTTCATACCTCTCCGTAAGACCCGCGATGCCTGACGGACGTGACAACGTTCCGTCACTTCCTCCCAATCGGTCAGTTTGAACCCTAACGACAATGCCGCCATGCTCCGGTCCATTGCCGATGGAGCTAACGCTGAATGAACAAACGGCTTAGTAACCACAGCAAGGTATCCCTTCGCCCCTCCTTTGACTGGGCCCCCACAGTGAAACCAACCTCCTTGTCCCACATATCTCAAACGTTCACATAGGCAGTCCCTGTGCCCGGTGCCATAGGATTCTGTATCGATCCTCCAAGCATGGCGTCTCGAGCTGCCACATTTCCTCCAGACCGGACTGTCCCTCCTCCCTGCCCCCTGGGGCCGCCATTCGCAGCTTGTCCCCTTGTGCGCGAGCCAAGTAACCAGCCCCTACCTTCCGCCAACCAGGCACGTGGCGTGCCTGCACCCGATACCTGAACAGTGATACAAATCGCCGCCATCGGCGTACCTCCTGAACCGAGGACCCGGCTGGATGGTAAACCATATGAACCCCACCGTATTGTGCATGAATTATGACTTTTCATCCCTTAATACTTCACCTTTTAGAGCCACAGCCACTCCCAATGGAAATAACTCAAAAGATGCCAACTTCGAATAAGAGTACTTACTTTTCATGCCTCCCACCACTGCTCTGCGCACCACCTGCCTTCCAGGTATGCCCCGGAATCTATGTTCCAAGAGGAATCCGTGAACAACGCGATACCACCCGCAAAGGCTCCACAAGTAGCCTTCGCCATGAAATGGCTACCGACCCAGTCCTCGCGACTAACCCGAAATGCTACTTGAAACTGCCTTATGAACAACTGCGATTTCTCAGTGACCTTCTTGGACCTGCGAACCTTCAGCCTGAACTCCCAAAGTGCAGTCAACTGAACCCCAGGCAATCGGCACTCTCCTACCACCGAAACAATTTCCAGCCCAAGCAAAGACGTGCGGTAGGATTCCCGCGACCGTAAGGTATGTCCACAACGGCCCGGCCCAGCCGAGCCCACACAGCAAGCTATCTTACAGATAATGTACTAAGGAACCCCTTTCTGATTCCTCTTTCACCTCCCACTCCCAGACGGATCCAACTTCCCGAAGTAGGAACATGAATGGAACTGCCCCTTGGCAAGTAGAGGTTACCAATAGGAACCTGCAAACATGCAACCCAAAAGATGGAAGGGTGGCCAATAATCGAACGCGTCCTGTTCCCCCAAACCAACTCGACGGCAAGGCCGAATGATGCCAACGATACAGAACAGTTCCGCGGCGATGTCCTCATTTACCAATGCCCCTTTCGGGTGCGATAAGTTTTGTATCGGACGGAATTTGCCCGCCCATTTCTAGGGGACCACCCCCATGGAGACACCCACAGGTCCGCTAATGGCTCGGAAGTTCCCCCATGGACTTGATATTCGCCCACCACTTTTCCTGGTCCCTCGACTTTGAATGGAATAGCGTAAACCCCCTCAACAATCCCAGCCATAAAACTAGCGCATTCATGGGAGGCTTACTGCCTTAGCCACAGCAGCAATGCACTGATCATCACTGGTGCCGCTCCGAGCCGCTACCGCAGGGCTGAAGCCCTGCCGAGTACCCTTCCTGCCTTAGGTTTTCCTTTCTTGACGCGTCAATTGACACCGTGACTCCCACCGCCTCCGGAACACCCGTATCGAAACCTACCCGACGGTCCCCAGTTGCACTGACCTTTCTTCTGTCCAGCCAGCACCGCACCTCCTGGGGGTTCGCCGGCAGCCCCCGGATAGAGCGCATTTCCTGCACCATCATTAGGAACCACCCCTTTTAAATCAATGAACTCCTCGAGCGGAAGACAGGAATTTTTTTTTTCCCAATGTCCCAGCGAAGGACACGTACCCATTTTGTTGCGCCGCGCCTGGAATATTGCGACACATCTAACTGTTCTCCTGCCCCGTCAGATGTCCCCGGTACCGGTACACCGTATTCCCCTTCCCTTACCCGGCACGCCGTCACCACCACCCTTACTTCGGCCTCCCGACTGCGCTCTGGTGACCCCACCCTTCCGCACCGCGGGGACGGCCCCTTTTTTCCTTGATCATGACTCTAAAATGATTTTTGCAATTTAAAAAAGTGTGGTGTTTATTGACTCACCGCCTGAACCCCCGTCTGCGCTGTCCTTCCATCCACCTTGCCAGGCTCTGGAGTATCCGGTGGATGCCAACTCCTGTCCGCGCTGGTCCAGCCTCAAAACCGTAGAAGTAACACTCCTCAACCTGCTCCTCCAGCCTTCATCCAACCTCCCGCTGCTGCTGTGCCTGTCATTGTCGTTGCGCTGCTCCCTCCCGTACTCACACCTGCTGATGCTCCTCCTGTGTTCCTGCTCCTGAGAACGCCCCCCAGGGGGCTTCCGCTTGCCTCTGTGCCTTACGTCCATTTCCACCCGTCCATGTCCTCTCTTCTGCCCTCTCTCCGGCCGCCTCATCCACTTGTGGCACCTTTAATTAATCCTGGTTGCTGGCCTTCCCCTCCATAGCTGCTCTGCTGCGCCTGTGAAAACTCCGCCTGCTGCTTTCACTATCCCCTTCCTTCACCTCTGACCTGACTCTGGCCCCATCCAGGGCTGCCTCTGTCTGTGTCCCGCCGACCTGGACCCCCCCTGCCTGCCTATTCGGGGGGGGGACCGCTTTTACACTGCTGGGCCCTTGCATCATTTCCCCTGTCCCTCAGGTATGCCACCAGGGGCAGACTCACCAGGACGCCTCTTGCCGCTCGCCCTGCCTGGCGGCCATCATGTCATGCTGGATTCCGTTGTCCTTTGTGCTTTCCCGCCCCCCCCCCCCGCCTTATTGCAGGGGGCGCTCTTCTTGTGCAGCCTCATCCTGACCTGTCATCTTGCCTGACCGGTGCCGCGTCGAACATACGGCGCCAGCCGCCCTCCAACTCCTGCCTGCTTTCCGACCTCATTTTCAGCCTTCCCCTTGCCGCCTCCTGACAGGCTCACGGGCTGCCGAACTAACAATGTCACTCACAGGCTGCCGCTGGGGCGTCCTCGCTCTCCTTGCTGGCCTCTGTTCCACCGCCACGTGGGGGGGAGGGGAGGTATGAGACGTGCTCGGGGCCCCCAGCTGCTCCTGCAGCCACCAGCCACGATTCTGCCACAACCTTTGTGACCAGGAAGGTGGCTTGCTTGGAGTTCTGTCTGAGGCTGATGGGAGTGAGCATGCAGCAGCAGCAGCTCACTCCAGCCTCTCCTGTACCTCCATGCTGTCTCCTGTACCTCCATGCTGCCTCTGTTCTTCTATGCTGCCTCCATGCTGCTGATGGGAGTGATCATGTAGTAGCAGCTCACTCCAGCCTTTCCTGTATCTCCATGCAGGGCCGCCATCAGGGCATGACAACCGCAACGGTTGTCATGGGCCCGGCGGTCCTGGGGGGCCCGGACTGCTCAGGTCGTCCAGGCCCCACATTCAGTGGGTACATACCGGGTCGCAGGGGGTCCTGCGACCCGGTATGTACCCACAGGGCCAGCCTCTTCTCCTGGGAGGCCCAGCAGCCGGTCACCTCGGGCGCCCCCCAGAGGCTGGCCCTGAAAGCCGTCCGGCGCGCGAGGGAGCACTCTCCTCTGGTGCTTCCTCTTCAGCTCCCTCGCGCACCGTACTGATGCCGGAGCCGGAAGATGACGTCATCTTCCGGCTCCGGCATCAGTACGCGGCGCGCGAGGGAGCTGAAGAGGAAGCAGCAGAGGAGAGCGCTCCCTCGCGCGCCCGCCGGGTGTCGGGGGGAGGTAGGAAATTGGAGGGATGGAGGGAGGGAGGGGGGTATGAAGGAAATTTATGGGAGGGAGGGGTAGGGAGGAAATTTAAGGGAGAAGGGAGGAAGGAAATTTAGGGGAGGGAGGGTGGAGGAAAGAAATTGGGGGGGACGAAGGAAATTGGAGGGAGGGGGGATGAAGGAAATTTAAGGGAGGGGAAGGGGATGAAGGAAATTTATGGGAGGGGGGAGGAGAAATTGAGGGAGGGAGGGGGAGGAAGGAAATTGAGGGATGGGGGATGAAGGAAATTTAAGGGAGTGGGAAAAGGAAGTACAGCCAGAAAAGCAATATAGTAAATATTTGCAAAGCATCTCTGTAAACCACTGATTCTGGGTAACATCTCTGCATGGTCTGAATCCATAGGATGCCATCTGCTGCCCGTGTTCTGGGAGCCTCCTTCCTGATTGACTCATTGATAAGAAGGACTCCTGGGCACCAGCACAATACTTTTCAAGACCTGAAGAGTTTAACAAGGAGCAGTCAATCAGATGAAGTGGTCGAAGTCCCTCAAAGTACTCCAACTCCAGAGTTAACGGCCAGGACAGCTGAAAATAGCCAACCAGGTAAAAAGTTGTGGATCCAAGAAGACAATCCATCAAAGGTAAAGGCTGAATGTACCAATGCTAGCCAATTTAAGAATGAACTAGATATCCCTAAAAGACAAAAGTCAGATGGAAGAGAGTGGGCTCCTGGGAACATTCATTCAGAAGAGAAACCGGAATTATTTGACACTAATCATTTGAAGGATAACACCGGAACCAGCAAATCCAACAATTCTGAAATTCTCTCTATGAAGGTCCCTGAAAAACCCAACCATTCATATATTGCACTGATCTCAAGAGCCATTTTATCGTCCCCTGAAAAGAGACTGCAATTAAGTGACATCTACCAGTGGATCATGGAATCCTACCCATATTACCACAACCAGGTACATAATTACACTACTGCCAATAACAGATCATAACCATAGCTTCATATTATTACTATCACAGACCCCTATTATATTTTCACCACTAAATGGCTTTACACAATTATGTTGATAACCGTTCGAAACAGACAATCACTGCACTTTAGAGAGCACTTAACAAAAAGTTGATTAACAGCACTTAAAAAGTACATTGCACATCAAAAAAATAAACCAGGAATGGTATGCAATATGATCAAGATGTTCCTTCTCTGTAAAAAGGGTTAATATTCAATAGATGGTTATTGAAAGTTCTCATGACGAGTAAAGAATTAAGCAGAGTATAGGAAGAAAACAGTCACAATATAAGACAGTACATAAGATACAAATACCCCCTTCTATCTGTGCATTGAAGCCAACAATCCCAGAAGTGTATCTTCATGCACTGAATTCTGCAAATGGAGTACAAATATGTAAGGTACTATATGTTATGCATACCTATAAACACTGCTGATCCACCATAGCCATTGGTTCTCCGACTGATAAATTATGTTATTGGGCAGGGAAATGACAGATGAGATCAGTATATTCAAATGTATGCATTTTAAGATGAGGAATACACTTGCAACATGCACTCGAAATGGGGCTATGCTGAGTTAGGTATAGAGAGAATGAATTTGAAATGTCAATGAGCACCTGCTCAGCCCTGTGGGTTACGGTCATTCCACTTTAAATATGGACACTGGTTATTGAAAATGTTTTGAAAAAGCTAGAATACTAGCATTTGTTTATTCTTAAGGTGTAATAATGATCATATTATACAAAGATATATAAGGCTAATATTAACAGCCTATCTAATAAGACGTTACAAAAAACAAAATGCCTTACACTGAGAATTGAATTTACACCTAGAGAAGAAAAGAAGATATTTAGGGCTGTACAGGGAAGTTTAACAGCCACTTTGAAATCCGGGATTGTGTGGAAAAGTCTTTTATCAAACTGTATGCAACAATAAAAAATAGTGGTTGTATTTAAATGGGTTCTGCTTGTACACTGGACCTTAAACACCATAACTACTACAGCTCACTGTAACAATTAGATCCTGTTGGTATCGTCCCTCCATTCTTTCAGTTGTAGAATTTAGAACAACGTGGATAAAGATTGCATGGAGAAGAAATATATTTATTCACATATTTTTCTTCAACGGATTGCCATATCATTTCTATATTTTAGTTAGTACTCGTTGGTATAATATTTCAATGTTAATAATTAAATGGGTAACATGTTCCCCACAATACCGAGAAAGTATTCTAAAGAAAACATATTTTTCATACTTTAATGGTTGCATATACCTCGTTGTTTGATTCATCTACCAGTCAGACTATTTATTCTGGACTTTTATTTGCTTATTATCTATTATAAATATTGCATTTTAGTCTGCCTATTCTATGCTCTTTTAATTTATGTGGTTTGTAGTGGCGCTGCCTTCCTTTCTTTTTTCTGTACCATTTCTGTTGTAAGGCCTGTGAGGGAGCCCTACTTTTTAGGTGTGCTGCCACTTTTTACTTATTTATTATTGTTTCTGTTATATCTTGTATAGATACAGAGCGCTGGTCCCTTTCTTCCGTTCTATGCTCTTTTGCCTTCTATATATTGTGTTGTTGTGGGGTGTCCTTACGTATGCTGGATAATTCACTACAACTGCACAAAATTACTTCTATTATTAGGAAAAGAGCTGGAGAAACAGCGTGCGCCACAATTTGTCTCTCAATGAGTGTTTCATCAAAGCTGGCCGCAGTGATAACGGGAAAGGACATTACTGGGCTGTTCACCCTGCTAACTTGGAGGCTTTCTCAAGGGGAGACTATCAAAGACGCAGGGCAAGAAGACGTGTACGAAGGTAAATACATTTATGAAGCTCACTAGTATTAAAAGGGCAATCTAAGCACCATAACCACAACAGCTCACTGCATCTACATTCCATCACCCTTTTCAACCTCACTGATAATGCAGAAGGTGCACTTATGCATTATCAGAGGAGACTTTATCTGCCCTGCACAGCAATAATAAGCTGAGACCACTGGCTGTGGGACAGACCAGCACTATCATTGCCATCCAGGTTAGATAGAATTTCCCTCCCTTGTTATTAAAGCAGAAATGAAATTTCCGCGTTATCAGTTTTACCGAAATGTAATGAGATGTAGGTGCTGGGGAGAGAACTTGGTCAAACTGCTCCAAAAAAGTTTGACAAAAACTATAGTGGGGCTATTGATTATAACGTTTAGAATACTCTTGTAACTCTCAGTATTACCATTCAAGAAAAGGTTACATGGATTGAGTACTTATAGATAGATAGATATTGGCATTTTAGTAACGTAAAAGGAAAACCAATTTTTAGTTTGAAGGAGCAAATTTATTTCCTTTTTCTTTCACTGCATACATTGTAGTTATTAGTGCAATCGCCTTATAAACGAACGGCATATTCCTGCATTGATATATTTATGCCCTTTAATTGCTTTTTGTGCATGTGGACTGTATTTGCTTACCCAGCTCCCACCATGTCTTGTACTTTATCACAAATGTTCTCATTTCATATTTTTGATTCGTTTTTATTATCCTTTTGAATATCAACTCTCTCCCTACTCTGCTTGTCGACACAGGGTTTCTTCAATTCTTGGACATCAACCTCACTTTCCGTCTTGTACCTTGTGCTGTTTTCATCAACAACTTTGCATCTGCTGCCCACCGCTGAATCCCCACTCCAGTCTACCCCAAATATACCCTCTTACAGAACAACCTTCCCAGCAAACACGTTGGCCTTTCCCCATGCCAGTGCTCTGGCCTTTTCACCAGATGCCTCCTTATGTTTAACGCAGAAATGAATCACCCAGGAATAAAGTCAAAGACTAAAAAACAGATTACTGAAATTAATCAACTGTAAACTAACTGTATGTATATCTTCACTAAATAAAGGTCTTCCATTATATCTTGTTCGTATGTTAGCATGACAATGTTTTATATAAACTAGGATGGCAATTTGTTTCTTTACTGAATAATACGCTAAGTGTATTTTCTCGCAAATCTGACGCCCACCTTGCTATACCCGCACCCTTTCACAAATCAGTAATGCGTCAAAGTCTCACATCTTTTCCTAATTGCTCGTGAGGTTCTTAACAAGATCTTCAGCTTGTAGCCTATACTTATTGAAAGGAATTAGAGCTTGTGGTTTTAGTGTTAATCTCACCATCTAATCGTCCGGAATCTGCTGAATCTCAAGAAAGAGGCAGCTTAAAATGGACATTACATCCACAAGACGGACTGATACATAAAAGAGAGAACCTTTCTTATTTGGATTGAAAAATGTGAACTTCAGACAAACAACAGGATCACCATACTATTGACAGATTTGTTTTCATACTAAGGTTGACAATTCTTCTTTAAAAACATACATATTATAATGGTATGCTTAAGCTCACAAAAGAGTAAGAGTTCAATGTGGCATGCGTGTTTTTTTCATAAATGGCATTTATTAAATAACCTACGTGACAATCAAATTGTAGAGAATATGAGCATTAGGAGTGTTCCAAAACCATAGTAGGCATTGATAAAATCATAACAATATCACATCATCTAAAATAGCTTACCTTGGAATTATAACAAATAAAGGAAACCTGAAACAAAACATTTTGGGGTTTTAAATTTACATACTAATTTTCTCAGTGTTAAGTAAAAAGATCAGACATGAAATTCTCAAATAACTTTTTATTTACAGGAAAACATGATTTTGCATATGCAGTAACATAACAGTGCTAAGAGACCGCTGCTTCTACTGCCAACGGTCCTCTTGCAGTCCTATGGAATGAAGATGGATGGAGATACTAAACTTTTGACCAATTAACCACAAAGTTGGTTTTTATTGTGTGGTATCTAGCATCATTTGCTGCTAATAAACTGGTTAAGTTGACAGAAACACAGGATATTGCCCATAAACCGCCTTCTGCTTTGATCAATTTAGTGGAATGTGCTGTATCGAAGGGCAGAACTGACAACATTGGTAATCCTCAAAACATTCTGCAGTCAAGAGGTCATCTTATACGAGGTCTTACGCTGTGCTGTCTCATTAAGTCATTGTAGCATATATGTTGTGTCCTAATAATAGGTAAGGCCATTCTCAAATGTAGTCAGGAGGTCATTTATGTCAGAACGAAAACCAGCACTGTCTGCACTTACATCTAAACACCTAGTACCCAAGTATTGTCAAATTCAGTCGCTCTACATTACCCAGCATTGACTGAACATGTCGTGTAGTATGAAGGAAGATATTTTGGGTATCCTGTGTCCCTGTCAAAGTTATCATCGTGAAATTGTAAAAGAAATACAAACATAAATTTCTGTCTAAAATTCAAGCTTCTTATACAAGTGCAATCAGCTGTGAGGGCTCAGGGTAAGTTAAACCACCTAATTAGCACCGTCCTTGTTAACTCCCAGATCAGAGACCACAATGTGCAAAATGTGCCAATCACGTTCCCTAAAACATGTAAACACTGCTTGGCTTTTATTAACTAATAAGGTGCTTCATTGCCTCTCCTATAAGACAAATGGTAGTATCAAGTATATTTCAGATATGATCCTCTCCACATCACTTCCTTGACCTGTGGCACATTGCTGAGGCTTTTACTAATTAATGTAACATTTGCTAATTGTCCTAAGTGGTCATATTATAAACACTTGCAACATTTAAAAAACAAAAGCCTCCCTGTTTACGTAGAAAATATTAGCTTCTGCAGAACGTTTTGGACCTAATATGTGCTTTTCAACGACTCCATAGCCTCCAAAGCTATTCTTATGAAACCAATATTTATTTAGTTTTATGCTGGACAAAACCCAGTCATCTACCGTAAATTAAGGATGCAACAGATAAAACGTGTTTTCCCCAGGATTCAATGGTGGTCAATTGGCCACTTATGATGTCTGAAATCATTAAATATTGCATTGTTGCTAATTCAGTAAAAACCTTGTCTGTTATACTCTACACACTCTCATAACTAGTGGGCAATGTCTTAGCTTAATGCAATGTCAATGCAATGTCTTAGCTTAATCTGTGTCTAAAAGTGCTATATGAAACACCAATATCCCATATTGTGGCCTGCAACATCCAGCAGCAACGAGATAGTGAACAAGTCACACACTTGTTATCTTAGGTGCTATACAAAATATTTATTACAATATAGAAATTTCTCAAACTTAGTCCCTACAATCACCAATATTCTGGATTTTGTTTATATACTTCCATATAATCCAAAATGAATTCGCTAATGGCTTGCTCCTTTTGACAGATCCACTTGCTAGGTTATACGCTAAACTGGAAATTGTGGAGGCCAAAAAAAATGTAGATTCATTTTTCCAGTTCAGATGTCAATGTGTCGATGTATTAAAAAAATAAATAAATAAAATTTATATTATATATATATATATATATATATATATATATATTAAAAAAATAGGTTACTGCTTGGCCCCAGCAGCTCCCTTGTAAGTATGCATGTTCAGGTACGTTTCATATATATATTTAGGAGTCCAGGCCAACTCCCCGGTCTTGCACTCCTCTCTGTCACCGTTGCCTCATTCCAGGGCCCTATTTGGCCTTGCTTTGCAAAGAGTCCCAAGAGTAGATGGTTTAACTCATATTAGTCGGACCTGCCCCAAAACATTTTTTTGCCCAGGTGAGGTGTTTGTAAATAAAACTATTGTGTTACATTCTGTGAGCCTTGTAATTGCTGTTTAGTGAATGAGTGAGTGTGCTGGATCTTGTATGTTTTATATGTATGTATGTGCATGCGTGCGTGTGTGTATATATATATATATATATACACACACACACACACACTATATATATATATATATATATATATATATATATATTTATTAAAAAAATCTTTTCTTCTATTTATTAAAAAAATAACAAAATGTGGACCTTATACTAGGCAGCATGAAGGTTTGTAATTCTTAAAATGCAGATTTATTTAATGAAAAATAATAAAGCACATGTGCAAGTGCTGGAGAACCACTGTTTTTGTCAAACAGCTCAAAAAACAGTGTGACATAAATTTGGGGTATATTGATAGCAGAATTTCCATTTTTAATATGTTTATTCATTGACTACAAAAATATAGGATGTATAGGGGAAAAAAGAAAGTATAGAAATAACACAGTATCCCATGCAGAAAACTTATCGTAAAAGCACAAATACTATTTTCTGTAGTATGACCTGCACATCTGCTGGCCTTTTTGGGAGTGCACATTCTAAAAATGGCATCAGAATACAACATTATGACTACAGGTGACCATGTGCCTTACTGAGTGCCAATGACCTTCTGTACATAAACTACTCTCTAGATAGATACTGTTGAGGAGTAGGAGCAGAAAGGACAATTATGTAACTTACACCCTCATAAAAGGACCTGTGTTGTAGAGGAGGTGAGTGTTAAAATGGATCTACTGTAATATTTTTTGGTTTATGTTGCTATGTAGTGCATTGTGATATAGATTGCATGCATACTATAAAGATATTGTTGGTAATAAAGGATTTAATCAAAGCACAAAAGAGTTCTGATATTTTGAAACACGTGTGGTAAAGGAAGGATGTGGCCTATTAATGCAAGCAAAAATACTGAGTCTTGATACTATCATACTAGATTGGACTGCACGAGAACTGAAACTTCGACTATTGGATTTTTTTTGATGAGATAAAGTAGAAATTATTTTTAATGTAATATCCCAGAAAGCTGTTACATTACATATATACACTGGTGATAAAAGAAGATGCTTTGCTGTTTATATCTGTGTATAAAAATAATTTATTATATGATCCCTTTATTAGGTTCACCTTTCTAATACAGGGTTAAACCCCATCTGACCCAAGAACAGATTTAACAAAGTGCTGGAAACACATCTTTGAAATTCTGGTCCATGGTGGCATGATAGCATTGTGTAGTTGCTGCATATTTGATAGCTGTACATTCATGTTGCGTGTCTTCTGTTTCACCACATTCCAGTATCCTGGGTGTCACTGAAGTACATTAAATTATAATTTTTGTGAAACTAACTTGAGATGATGTGTGCTTTGTGACATGGTATATTAACTTGCTGGAAGTAGTCATTATAAGGTGGGTAGACTGTGGTTACAATGGGATGCACTTGGTCAACAACAATACTCTGGTAGGCTGTGGCAATTAAAGATATGTTAGACCAGGCAAAGTTTTTTTCAATCTTCTACTATCCATGTTGGTGTGCCTTTGACAACTGCAGCCTCAGTTTCAGAATGACTGGTGTGGTCTTCTGATGGTCTTTTAAATCCTAGCCAGGGCTAAACCTTAAAAGCCAGGAGAATCCATAACACACAAACTGAGACAAATTTCTACCTGCCAATGGCAGTGGCAAGTGGAAATTTTGAATCCTGCCATCAGGATATCATTATGTTGGATGGCACGCAGTACAGTTCATCCAAAAGTAATTCAGTGGGATTGAGGTCATGGCTCTGTGCATGCCCACCAAATTCATCAAACCACATCTTCATGGACCATACTTTGTGCACAGGAGCACTGGCAGGGTGGAACAGGTGAAGGTCTTCCTCAAACTGCTGACACAAACTTGGAAGCACCCAGGTGTCTAAAATGTTTATGTAACCTGTAGCATTTAGATAACCCTTCACTAAAATGGAGGGGCCTAGTCCAAACTCTGAAAAACATCTCCAGACCATTATCCTACCTCCACCCAACTTGACAGCAAGCATTACATATTCTGGTAGGTAGAGAACACCTAGTATCCCTCCTGAACAAATTCTTCCAACTGAGTTCCAGATAGTGAAATGGCACTCATCACTGCAGAGACCACATTTATACTGCAATGGAAACTAATTTCATGAAGCTCCCCACTCAGCGTTCTTGAGCTGACAAACTTTGCAGTTTGTAACTCTTTAGTGAGTGATGCAACAGACGACGGGTGATTTTTACGCACTCTCTGC